TGGCTCTGCAGGGACAGGACGGGGCTGTCGGGTGGTCACACACCATCTGCCAGGTCCTCGTCCATCCGGGACCCACTGTCGCGAGCCTGGCCCCAGGGGTGGCCTCCGGGTTAGCTTTTGGGGACGTTGAGCTCTTGCTCCCTGGCCCTGGGTGTCCTGGGGTGACCTCAGGAGCCTGACACACAGCCCTCGTTCCCTTTCCTTTCATGTTGCAACAGGAACATCTCAGAGTTCTGGAAAGCGAGGTCTGCCCCACGGGAGCTGCCATCTGCTCCCCTCCCTTCCCATCCCGATAGAGAGAGAACCACCCACAGGGTGGCTGCAGGAGGCACCTGGCGGACTCGCGGAGTCTCTCCCTTTCCCGGCCCTGCTCTGACAGCGCCTGCCCTGGGTCCGAGAGGCTGGGGTTGGCACAGGACTCACCCCGACGGCAGAAACGAGGCGTCCCAGGATGAACACCAGGCCTTCCCTCTGCAGCCTCCCGTGGGTTGGCAGGGCCTCTGACCTCCAGGGAACCGTCCTGGGGTCACAGCTTGGCCGCCCACCTGGGGGGGGGGCAGGGCGAGGATGGGCAGTGACTGTCCTCACAGCAGGACGGCAAAGGTCATCTGCCGCTGAGGGAGGAGGAGCCGAGACCCCAGGGGATGGGGCCCGGCTCCACAGCTTGTTACAAAACCCGGCCTGTGGACTTGCTGCCAGGCCTGACCTCCCCTGACCTTTGTTGGTGCAGGGAGCAGGTTTCCGAGGTTGGAAGGAAGTGACTTCGCTGTTTAATGACGATGACGAGGAGCACCTGCTGGGAAGATGCAAATCTCCCAAGTCCAGGGGGTAAGTCCCTGCGGGAGGGGGGACGCGGGCCACAGGCCAGGCCAGGCCCCCGTGGGTCCCCCCTCCTAGCGGCCCCACCACCCGTCCCTCCCTGTCACGTGGGGAGAGCAGGCCCGTCAGGTGACGCCTCAGGCCCGCCCCTATGAGGAAGGTGCGCAGGGCCCCGATGTCTGGGGAGGAGCGGCCGGGGCTGCAGGAAGGCCTGGGGCAGCGGAGCCGCAGGCGGAGGAACGTGGAAGCTGCAGACCAGGGCCCACCTCCCCTGGCACCAGAGCCACGACCCAGAGCTGCCTCGCTTCACTTCACGGGCGGGTGTCGCCGTGACCACCTGCTTCCCCGGGAGGCGGGTCCTGCGTGTCGGTCCCCTTGGCCTCGTCTCCCGGGGCCCCGTGTGCTGGCTGGGGCCCTGGGGACCCCGGGGGATAAAAGGAATCCTCCCCGTATTGGGCCCTGGGCCCTGGGTCCCTCCTGCCGACTGGCAGGCACGTGAGCACCAGTCGTGTCTTCTGTGCACGTCCACGTGTGGGTCTGAGAGGCGGCCTCACGAGTGTCAGCAGCAGCACGTGGGGACGAAGTCTCCCTTGTTGACTTTGTTGTTTCAAGTTTTACACATCGATTGGCGTTAGCGTCCCACACACCTTCGATGGTTTTAGAAAAGGAACCTTTATTTACAAAATGGACAGAATCTGAGGCCCCTGCAGCACCCCAACCCAACTCCTTTGTCTCCCACAGAACCAGCTTACGGTGGAAGGAAGAGCTGAAGACGGAGAAGAAGTCTGGGTTTTGGGACAATCTGGTCTTAAAGCCGAACACACAGTCCAAGAAGCCAGATGAGATCGAGGGCTGGGAGCCCCCCAAGCTTGCTCTCGAAGACGTGGCGGCCGAGTCGGGCCCCCTGAGCGACCAGGCGCCCCGGCCGGGCTGGGAGGAGGGGGCCAAGGGCTCCGGCAAGTACACCAGCCTGGCCGGCCCGGGGGGCAGCTCGCGCTGGAGCCTGCGCTCGGCCGGGAGGCTGGTGAGCATCCGGCGCCAGAGCCGCGGCCACCTGACCGAGAGCTGGGAGGAGCTCGAGTGACGGCTCGGCCAGCGTGTCGCCCAGAATCTGCCTGACGCTGCCGCTCCGGCTCCTTCCGCTCAGCCTTGGTTTGCCGTCTCAGGTGTTCTCAATAGAATTGTTAGTCTCTCCAGGTCTCACACCCTGGTGAGGCGTTTCCAAACACTGTGACCGCCGGGTGCCTGCATGCTCCTGCCCCTGGCGATGCAGCCTCCGGTGCTGCCCCGCCGTCCTCAGCGGTGACTCCTGCATGGAACCGGGGAGCTGACGGTGACCCCGAACGCAGCCGCCGGGATGGACACGCGCCAGCCGGGGTGCCGTGAGTCTGGCCAAGGCCGCGTCAGGTCGTGTTTATCCTGGAAAATCAAACTTCTCAAATTAAAAATCTGTCAGCAAATCAAATTCTAGAGAAGCGAACGCTGCCTGCCGCCGGCAGAGGCCCCCGTCCACGGTGGGTGCAGTCGGTGCTGGTGTGTTGAGGTTTTATTTTGACTGCTGGGCTTTTAAACATCAATCTGTATTTTCTTCTACAAACCTGTCGTGCTGTTCTGGTTACAGATTGCAGGATGCCCTAAAGTGTGGGTCGATTTCAGTCACTTGATACCGTAATTTTGCTTGGAAACTGTTAACTTGCTCACTGTAGAAAACACTGGAAGTGCCTCCTTTCTAGAACGCCCAGCGTTTTGTTTTCAAGGCGAGATGCTGCGCCTGCGGTGGGACCCTAAGGGCTGCGTCCGGCCGTGGGCAGCGTTTCGTCCATTTTGTCCTTGGCCCTGCAACTGCGGGCCAGGGCCCCGGCCAGCTCTCCCTACGGGCAGCCCAGAATCCGGCCGGGGCTGGTGTGAAGGACCAGGCATCGCTTTTTGTCTCGAACGTCTGGCTGCACTGGATTCTCTCGGGAGGAACATCCCGGTTGCTCAGGGCTCACGGTGCTGCTCCCCGGAAGGGGGCTGGGTCGCTCCCGGGACCCGCCGCACACCCCACGCCTGGAGGGTCAGACGTCTGTCTGTCTGTCGTCTGCCAAGCCTCTGTCCGTTCACCCATCTGTGTTTTTCAGTAGAACAAGAAGTTTACTTGGCGGAGCCTGGACACGGATGTGCTGTACGTGGTGCTGGGGCTGTGGGCCAGGCTCGGGGCGAGGTGGGACTGTAAACCGCACGCTCATCTGCAAACATTCATGCAAATGCGATGTTCTTCTGCTGTATGGGATCCGGTGAAAAGGGCTCTGTGGGTCTTACTATAGATATTTATTGCTGTGCTTCAGGAGAAAAGTAATCTACCAAAGCAACTTTTTGTGCAAATGCTGAGATGGATTCGGTTTTGGTTGGGGGATCGTTTGAGTTCTGTGTACAGACAACTGTGCGAGGAGCGAGGCGTCTGCTCCTTCTACTGATGCTTTAGTATTTTTCATACGAAAGCGATGGCTGCAGAGAAGGTCAAATCCATCCTTAGTGCTGAGGTTTTAAGAAATAAAAGTATCATTTATATTGTCCTTGGTCGTTGGCCTGTCATTGGTGCCACGTGAAGGTCACTGCTCACTCACCTCAGGCCTGGAGCCAACGGCCGCCTCTCCACACGTAAACCCTGTTTTAAATGCAAACTACGTGCAGATGTTTCATAATCCATGACCGACGTGGACCTGAGCTCCCGGTGTGAGCCGCCTGGCTGCTGTCTGCGAGGCGGGTCTGTGTGGGGCTGCGGGGTTTTGAATCAGTTGTTCCGTGAGTTGGAGACGGAGCTGCCTCCCAGCTCCGGCTGAGAAACAAGCACATCCCAGTCGGTGTCCTGGAGCTGGGGGAGGGGGGTGGACCCTGCGGGGATTGGAGAGTTGTGGAGCCGTTTCCATGACAACAGTGGCATCGCTAGGAACCTAGTGTGCCCCTGTGAAAGGAGTGGGAGCTAGGAAAGCTGCAGGAGGCGCCAACCAGAGACGCCTCCCTGAGCAGCCTCCTTTGGGCACTGACTTCCCACCCCTGCCAGCTGCCCAGGTCGCTGGCCGAGCTGCCCCTGGAGTCGCATCCTGGTCCTTGAAGCGGGGGGGGGGGGGGGGGGCCCTGTGGGGACCCCCGCGGCTCCCAGGCAGGAGCTGATTCCCCAGGAGGAGCCAGCGTCTGGCTTTGCCCTCCGCCCTCTGCCTGCAGCTCTGAGCGGCTGGGACAGCTATTTCAATGAAAAGTACCATGTCGGCTTGCAGGAGGCAGTGGTCAACGACTCATCATTGATGTTTCCGTTTCTCTCTTCCTCTCTCCATAATAAAAATACATTTAAAATAAATACTATTTCAGCCCACCAGGCGTGGCTCAGGGGTTGAGCGTGGACCTATGAACCGGGAGGTCATAGCTGATTCCCGCCAGGGCACATGCTGCAGGCTCGACCCCGGGTGTGTGTGTGTGTGTGTGTGTGTGTGTGTGTGCACGCGCGCGCGCAGGAGGCAGTGACCAATGATCCGCTTCACTGATGCTTCTCTCTCCCGCCGCCCCTCTCTGAAGTCAGTTTTAACAATGCAGCTTAGATAATGTAATGTTTTCAAGAAAGCTGACCAACCAGGCAGGGAGTGACAGGAGAGGCCACTGGCCTTGAGGTTTTGAGGATGATTTGTTTCTTTAGAGACCAGGGCTTCAAAGGGCTTCCCTGGCTGTGGCGGTGGCGGTGGCCACAGGGGCCAGGAACCCTGATCCCTGAGCCTTCAAAGCTCAGCAGCGGAAGCCTGAGAGCCGGGGGACCAGGGGACCAGGGGGGCCAGGGGGCCAGGGCGGGGCCAGAGTGCAGCAACCCGAGGCGGTCCAATCGGAGTCACTGTTCCACGGAGATGTGGACTGCCAGGGTGAGGGCAGGGCACTGCCCTGACATGCACTGTCTCTCAGTGTATGTTTGAAGGAGGGAGATAGAGACGATGCTGCCGGCCCCCGACCCTCATGACTCACAGATGAACACGCGGCAATGTTCACCCTGGCCGCTGGGCAGCCAGGTTACAGGTGATTGTATGCTATACACCTATACACGTTTTCTAAAATGGACTTGCGTTATTTTTAAAATAAAACCATCTTTTAAAGGTTTCAAAGGCTTAAGTAAGCATGAAACCACTCACTACCGTTCTCAGTCAGGGCGAGCTGAGGAGTGTCAGTAAACATGGTTTATTGTCTGTAAAGCAGTTCCACACAGAGACATCAGGCTGCCCCGCTGCTGCTCGTCATGTCTCCCTCCCTCCAGGGCTCCGGGGACACTAGACGCCGGCGTCTGTCCGAGGGCAGCACGGTGCGCGGCCGGGGCTGTGGCTGGAGGGCGGCCACGCCACTCACACCTCTGCTGGTCACAGACACTTTGCACAATTCACAACTCAATCGCCAAACACCAGGACGGACACACAAATATTCCCCTAGGTCATTTGGTCACAACCAGTATGGTTAAAATACATCTTAAGAAAAATAAATATTCTGCACAAGGTATTTACACGAATGCTGGTCCCCCCGCCCTTACGCAAAACCTGGAGGCAAGTGACCACCCAGCGTGTCACTGATTGGTGTCAGCTCAGCACAGCGTGTGGCGCTCAAAACCCAGGGCCCTTCGGAACCGTATTTGTTAGGAGGCAAAGTTGCGAATTTTCCAATGCTCAGAAGAAAATAAGTTCTTAGAGAAGGAGGCGGAAATGACTTCACTGGGTTCCCTGACCCTTCAAAGGTGAACACACACAGCGCGGCGTCCCCGCTGGAGCAGGAAGCGGCCAGCAGCTCGGCCGGAGCAGGAAGCGGCCAGCGGATGCTGGGCTCGGGGGCTGACACGCCGTGGGGAAGGGCCTCAGAACTTGAAGAGGTCGATGAAGTGCTGTGGGGACACGGGCGTGAAGCAGCTGTCGGGGTCCGTGGCCGTGCAGGGGTGTCCCGAGTCCTGCGGGAGGAGGCGAGGGTGACACAGGTCGGTTACCAGCTGCCTAAGCATCCCAAACCCGTCTCTAAGCCATGAGAGCATGACACCGGCACACGCGTGGTCTCAGCGCAGAAACCTCCCGCTCCCGTGCTGGACGGACAGCGAACCCCGAGCTGGTCCGAGCTGGCCCTGCTCAGAGAAGAAGACCCCAGGTTTCTGCCGCCCTCCTCCAGCCATGCTAGCAACTACGCCCACGCTCCCCATGACCATGCCCAAGCTCCCCTGGGCCACGCCCACGCCCCTGACCACGCCCACACTCCCGATGACCATGCCCACGCCCCCTGACCACGTCCATGCCACGCCCACACTCCCTGGACCATGCCCATGTTCCCCATGACCACGCCCACGCTCCCCTGGGTCACGCCCCCGCCCCCTGGACCACGCCCATGCTCCCCATAACCTTGCCCATGCCCCCTGACCATGCCCACCCTCCCCTGGACCACGCCCATGCCCCCCCACCAGGCCCACGCCCCCTGACCATGCCCACACTCCGGGATTGTACTTAACAGGAAAAGTGGGTTTTGTGTGAAAGGACTGAGGAACTTGAGAGAACGAGTGGCCTGAACGTTACAGCCGGCGCATTCGCTGGGCCGTGACCACCAGGTGCTGAGGGTGCCTTTACCTGAAGGAAATGCTACTGGACGCGCCTGGAGCGTCCCCTAAGGCTGAGCCTGGCGCTCAAGTGCAGGCCTCGGGCATCTCATGCAAACCCTTCCCTGGGGCTGACCTAAGCCAGGCCGTGCACCCGGCAGGCGGGGCTGCGATGGGTGCGGGTGCCCTCGGCGGGGCAGGCGCAGGGTTAGTCCCGAGCAGGGTGGGAGGTGTGAGTACCTGGAACAGCAAAGCGAGGCGGCAGTCCTGGAGATGGAGGACAGGTCGGAGGAGCGGGAGGAAAAGGGAGAGATTAGAAGGGCGGCTGGTGAGCTGTGTGACAACAACTGAAAGAAACCGGCAGGAAACGGGCGACAGCCGGATCGCTAAGGCAGCACCCGAGACTCCAGCCAACACCTGGCACCCGCAGCTGTAGATGCGTGTCTCAGTCCCCCACGCCCCGTGACCAGGCTGCCAGACACCACCCTCTGTGTTCCTGCAAGACGGGAGCAGAGCCGCCATTACACGGGAGGGGACACTGTGCCATGGAGTCGTTCACAGCCTTTCGGGTCGTCTGGGCCACCAAGTGCAGGCGCCACTGGAGGGACCATCCGCCCTCTGCCGCTCCGCCTGGTCACCAGGTCTGCGCCCGGCGTGGGGGCCATGGGGGCCTCTCTCCTGCTCCTGCGTCTCCGGCTGCGCCGCTCCCTGTGCTGGACTTGGCCTCGCGCAGGCCGGGGCAGGATGTGCACTGAACCAACACGTGTGGTGTCACAGGTGGAAGCCCAGGCCCACAAGGACAGGGCAGGGGCCGCAGGATGCCCAGGGCCGGGCTCACACAGCCTTTAGTTTCACCACTTTTTACCCGTGAATCTCACAGGAAACACAAACTCAGGGCAAAGCGTGGAAAGCACTGCAGGTGAAACAGCTCACTTGCGAAGAAAATAAAATTTAGTGAAGGAGGCACGTGGAGTCAGCCCTGAGCGTGGAGAACCTGTCCTCAGAGACGTCTGGGGGAGAGCAGACAGGAAGGGGACGCATCAGACTTCTGGGGGGTAGCAGACAGGAAGGGGGCCCATCAGAGACATCTGGGGGGGGAGCAGACAGGAAGGGGACCCATCAGACTTCTGGGAGGGAGCAGACAGGAAGGGGGCCCATCAGAGATGTCTGGGGGGGAGCAGACAGGAAGGGGGCCCATCAGAGACGTCTGGGGGGGAGCATACAGGAAGGGGGCCCATCAGAGACATCTGGGGGGGTAGACAGGAAGGGGACCCATCAGAGATGTCTGGGGTGGAGCAGACAGGAAGGGGGCCTATCAGAGACGTCTGGGGGGAGCAGACAGGAAGGGGGCCCATCAGAGACATCTGGGGGGATAGACAGGAAGGGGTCTCGGCAGAAAGGCCCTACGTGCTCTGGATGGAAAGTGAGTGTCCAGGTACAGACTCCTCACTAAAGGGCTAGACTTGATAAGCAACCAGAGTCTGTTAGGTTCTGACCAAACAATGAGAAAATGCACGTTTACTTATGTGTGGAGCTCTGAGAAGAGAAGCCGGGAGGCACATGGGCGGGGGGGTGGGGGGGTTCCCCGAAGCAGCTCTGTGGGGGGAAGGGGCGGTGTGGGGCGAAGGCCATGTCTGGGGAACAGGTAAGCGGAGGTCGTCCTTTCTAGGCCGAGGGCTCGGGAAAACCGCCCGCCAGGAGCAGCCTCTGCCTGGGGAGGCCCGAGGGCGCCGGCAGACCTGCTGCCTGCCCCCCCGGGACGTGCCCCACCCAAGTCACCACAGGGAGGACTGCCATCCAGGGACAGGCAGAGGCCAATGGTCGGCTCCTCGTCGCTCGGATCCGAACCCCAGGGCACTCTGTTCACGAACCTGCCTGCCCGGTGTCTGGGACGGACAGCCCCGCACGCTTCTGCCACAGCTTCCTGTTTGCTCCCCTGTGTGCTCCGTGCAGGTGACAAGCTGTCCCTGCCCGCCGCCCGCCCGCAGCTCACCTTCCAGAAGAGGGTGCTGCAGTGCCGGCAGAAGAGCAGCGTGTCCCCGTACTGCTCCCGCGTCGGGTAGCACTTCTGCAGCGCAAAGTACATCAGCTTCCACTCCACGTGGCCCTTCTCCGAGAGGATCAGGTGCCTGCAGAACTAGACGCGCACGCTCGGCTCAGTCAGCAGTGGTGAGCAGAGCGTGACGAGGTGCAAAACTGTTAAAGAGGCAGGTGGCGTGGGCCACACGGAATCACTGGACTTAAACTACCTGGGTTAAATCCAAGGGACTCATCAAAGGAGGCGCGTGTCCCTACTCTGGGACCCCACACAGCCGTGACGCAGATCTCACTATTCAGATCTGGCCTGATGCCCATAAGCGGTTCAACTACCAGGAAGTCCAACCACGATCTGCACACCTGACACTGATATAACGCTGTACGTCAACTGCACTTGACAAGTCAAATCAGAGAGGCAGGCAGTTACACACATCATCTGCCCGACATGAGCAAAGGCCCTGAAAAGACATTTCTGCGAAGATGTACAAACGGCCAAGAGGCCCAGCACCTGCCCTGAGTCGGAAGGAGACACCGTCACACCCGCCGGGGGTGGGAGTCGCTGCCAGGCGGCACCTGGGCTTTCCATCTGGTTGGCACAGCATGCAGACAAGATGCACCTGTGGTGCCAATTCTGACACCTGACATGAAACTCTGTGCGGACGACAGAGCCGCTACAGGGGCCCTTTAGGTCTGAGCTGGTGTGGTTCAGTGGATAGAGCGTTGGCCTGCGGACTGAAGGGTCCCAGGTTCAATTCTGGTCAAGGGCACATGCCCGGGTTGTGGGCTCGCCCCCAGAAGGCAGCCAATCAATGATTCTCTCTCATCATTGATGTTTCCCTCTCTCCCTTTCCCTTCCTCTCCGAGATCGATGAAAATATATTAAGGAAAATACAGTAGCCCTTTACGGAATGCATGCAAGGACCTCACAAATGGTCAACCATGTTCCCGAGACGCCCGCCATACACTTGACCCTCGAGCTGGGGAGCAGCAAGGACACCTGGGGAGGGGCCCCCAGGAGCTCCGGGCCGCCACCCAGACGCACGTCACCCGCTCGTTCCCTAGGCACGAGCCCTTCCTCAAACACGCTGTCCCCACAGCTGTGCCGGCTCCACAATGCAATCTCCCGCTTCCCCCTCAAGTCACCCTGACCCTGTGCTTCTCCCCAAGACCCCCCGGAAGTTTTCCTGGGGTCGCCCACCACCACAGGACTCAGTCTAGCAGGCGTCCTATGGGAGCCTTGGCCCCTCCTCTCAGGCCCTCAGGAGCCCTGTTAGCCGCTGCCCGAGGCCCGCCGCCTCCTCAAGTCCTTCAGACACCCGGGCCTCTCGACGGGCTGCTCTCGGGTACTGGGAGGCATCTCAACCCACCGTCTCCACCTGTGACTCCCAACCCCCAGGGACCACGGTACACGGCTGCGCCCACCCCAGCCAATGGGCCTCAAGTCCCTGGGTTGGTCCATGTCCACACCCTTCCTTCTTGGCGCCGCCTGTCATCGGCTCCCTGTGCCACTCGTCTGCTCTTCACACTAGAGCTGCCCTTGTTCCAAACGCCGCCAGGCAGAGGAGGGTCTGCGGGGCTCATGGCGCGCCTGCTTGCGTAGGGCCCTGCCACGCGGACCACGCCCACAACTGCCACAGCCCGTGACCTGCATTTCCTCAAGGGGCCTCTCCTGTCCGCCTGCAGCGTGGACGTGCTCACAGCACACCCACCTCTCCACTTCCCTCGTCCGTCACCAGCTCTGCCACACCCGTCTCTGGGGACGCGGGCCGCCCGCCTCCCCTCCCGCAGACCCAGGCGGCCTTGCGCACAGGCACAGCCCTGACCGCGGAGCAGAACACAGGGAGGCAGGGAGGATGTGGACAGCGGCATGCCGCCCGCCACCCAGGAAACCAAGGCTGGCGGGGCCCTGGCCGTAGCGGACACGCAGCCTGAGCCCATAGGGGAGACGGCGACACGGTCTGTCAACAGAGGGGGGAACGCCGCCCTGTTCTGTGTTCCGTGTTGGGTCATATGAGTTCACGGTCCTTTTTAAAGATGAACAGGAAACTGCATAAGCTGTCGGAGAGAAGCCACACACGACCTTCCTACACTGGACGATGCCGAGGCCGCAGGCTGCGCTGGGGCCGGGCGGGCCGCCGCTCACCTGCTTCTCGGCGAAGTGGTACTGACACAGCTTCTTCCAGAGCCGCCGGTCCTCGCTGAGCGTGTGCAGCGTGGGGCTCACCTGGCCCAGCGTCACGATGTCCCAGCCGTCGGAGAGCCGGTACAGGATGTTGTTCAGCATGTGCAAGGGCAGGTCACTGAGCGTGAGGCCGTGGTTCTCCTGCGAGAAAGGGAGCAGGACACGGCGCCTTCAGGGCACGGACCGACCTAACGTTCCCCTCCCCCACCTGCCCGGGGCGTGATGCCAGCATCCCTGACCGCACGCCGCCTCTGCTGGCCACCAGGGACACCCGGAAGTGGAGCCGGAATGGCCCAGGCTGCTTATGGCGACAGCCCCTCCACTGCATCTGCACGAGGGGACCTGTTTACTAGACGACACGCAAAGGGGCACCTGGAAGGGGCAGGTGCCGGGGACGTGTCAGCCACGGAGTGTGCACTGCGCTCCAAGCCTCTGCGCTCGGCCTGGGAAGCTCCGTGGCCAGGGGCGTGGATGAATCCTCCACGGAGGCCCTTCTAGCTCACAGCTCTGTGATTTCAAGTACATAAGCCACACCCTCCCTCACACAAGCCGGCGAGGGAACCGAACTGTCCCTCAGGAGGGCTGGCACCACGTGGTGCTGTGGGAGGCCTGTGCCAGGGGCTGTGCTGTGCAGGCCCTCACTGTCCGCAGGAGTCTCCCACGGACAGACGGACAGACAGACGGCAGGTGTCTGCTGGGCTCCACCCAGCCCTGCCCCCGCCGCAGAGGCAGAAGAGTCCCCGGCGGTCAGAGCCTCAGCCCCAGCACAGCTGGTCCCGTGTGCTGCCTCTTCTCTTCCATGACCCAGTGCCCGAGACGAGGGACATGTGTGGAGGAATGAACGCCCTTGATCCCAGGAGGGCGGGTGCAGGGAGAGGTGTGGAGGGCACACGGCGCCCTCACTGTCCCCTCAGAGCGCTGTCACCGTCCTTGCTGTGCAAACCCTTCCTCAGCTCATCAGACACAACCACAGGGGCGCGAGGCCACATTTCTGCCTCATCCAGTGCCTCAAGCTGCAGGTACCATGGGCCTTGGACCCTGGCGACAGTTTGGATGTGATGGCATGTCTGTCACGTGGGCCATCTTGCTTACAAGCCACACATGTGTGCATCTGCCTCCACACACCTGTGCATCCGCGTCCGCGCAGAGCGAGCAAGTGAGGGGAGTACAGGTCCTGCACGAGCCACAGGCGGGCAAGGGCAGACTGCGCACACACGGAGCCGTGATTTCCTGCTGTCATTTGAGCCGAAAGCACCTAATTTCCTTGCAGGGTGAGCGAGTTCACCACCTCGCCACCTGCGGAGTCAGCCCTTTCCAGTAGCAGCTGGAGCCCACTAACAGGCTCTCTGGTCTCACCCGTCTAAGAACAACTTCATTAACACGAAAGAGTAAGACGAGCATTGCTCTCCAAGCCGGGAGTCTGGAGAAGAGGTCACGACTTCGTGCTAAGGTCGTACCTGCGTCATCTGCAGGTTCTGCAGCTGCTGCTGCCAGGCGAGAATCGTCTCCAAGCGGCAGACCCAGATGTTGATGTTCCCCACCAGCACGGACTTGCCCACGCCTCGGATCAGGATGCAGAGGGTGGAGCTGAGGTCTTGGAGCAGGTCTTTGATCAGCCGAGGGTTCTGGTGGTCGTCGAGCACTGGAACAAAAACAACACGACTGTGCGTGGACAGCTGCCACCTGGGAGAGGGCCGAGCTGCACCCCGATGTAACCAACAGATGAAATGGGGTGCACGCACACAGCCGACTGCACTCAGCCTCAGAAAGGAAGAGACTCCACTCCCGCCACACGGTGCCACATGCTGAGGGAGACAAGCCGGACAGACAGCGGCTGTGGGCTCCCTGTCTGCGGGCGGAGGAGTCGGAGCCTGAGACAGGAGTGGACGGTGGAACCAGAGGTAGGGACGGTGGGAGTGAGTGTCTGGGTCAGTGCTGGCGAACCCTTTGAGCTCGGCGTGTCAGCGTTTTGAAAAACCCTAACGTAACTCTGGTGCCGTGTCACATATAGAAATTTTTTGATATTTGCAACCATAGTAAAACAAAAGACTTATATTTTTATATTTAGTTTATATATTTAAATGCCATTTAACAAAGAAAAATCAACCAAAAAAATGAGTTCGTATGTCACCTCTGACACGCGTGTCATAGGTTCGCCATCACTGGCCTATGGGGACAGAGGCTCAGTTGGGAAGATGAGAATGTTCTGGGGAAGACGGTGGTGGTGATGGTGGCACAACAGAGCGAAAGGACCTAATGGTACCAAACTGTCAGCTGAAGTGAAACTGTTAATTGTACATTGTCTACGTTCTGTCACAATGAACGATGACCTCATTCCCCTGCAACCCCACCTGGTTTCTGAGATACCGCAGATATGATGAGACTTAAGCAGACTTTAGAATGTTTCCTGACCAAGCATTTCTGGCCGAGTCTGCTGTTCGACTTTAAACTGTCAGCCCCCATGTCCCTTGCATTCTGCCGTACAGAGGAACGGTGTTAAAAATGGCTGCACTTAGCCATTCACTCGGATACAGGGTGCCCCCAAATGCACACACACCATGAAAACACAAGGGCAGCGCTTACTCAAACACACTGCATTTTCAAAATGGAGCTATCAGCTGTCAGAGTATGTATACGTTTTTTGGGGACACCCTATACATGCATAAACCCTACTGTGAAATCTAAAGTTCTACCTATTTGTCACTAATCCATCAATACATTCACTAAATTAAAAAGAAATGTGTAGGTTTATTTGATGCTGAAACAACTAAGCCCCAACCCTGATGGTTATGGAAACATTCTGTGGTAAAGTGAGTGTGAACGGCTAGCCACGAAGAGGTGAAATGTCCTTTCACTTATCTTTCTATCTTATGATAGCACAGTGATATATTTCTTGTATTAATGTAATATACTCCTTCCTCTGCAAACGCAACTTTAAAAACATAAACAGCACGTGGACGTGAGAGCCGGAGGCCCTGGCACGGCTGTGCAGCCACGGCCACGCACCGGACGTCACCATTGGACACACACACGGGGTGGGGGTCAGAGAAAACCCCTCTCCTCACACTAACGCTCATTAAGATTCAGACGATGGAAAAGGTCAGTCATCCTCTTACCCTTGTGAACGATTTTATCCAAAATGTTGAAGTAATTCTTTTGTGCCACACCACTCAGTGAGGTTAACTGGGATTTTGCAATTAGCTGCAATAGCTTAAAAGAAAGAGGGAAAAAGCTGAGCATCAATCTCCTCACATGGAAACATACACCACAGTGACGACACGCACAGGACGGACGTGTGCCCCTCAGGGTCCTCGGTGAGAGGTGCCCGTCACGCCACCCCAGGACGTGACGCCGACTGTGCGGTCGCCCCGCACGCCCTCCACGTGCAGACCTGAACCTGTGCCCCAGGCAGGCCTGCTGGCATCTGACCCCTGGACCTGTGCTCAGTCCGTGCTCCGTCTGCTTCCTTGAAGACTCCAATTCGAAGTGTGCAGGGCCTTCTCCTGTCTGTCCTTCCTCCACAGCGCTCTCTTTCCAGTCCTTGTAAACTCAGAGTCACGGTCCTCTCACTTCTGCCCCTCAGACGCTGACCGCTCCCAAGTGCCCGCTCTGACCAGCTCCCTCCAGGTCCTGTCCCGGCTCCAGTCCTCACAGCCTGTCTCCTCCGTCAGTCTTGGCTCGCACTGTCTGTCTGCTCCCAGCTCCCCGCCACCCCCAAACGCTTCCCCAGCCGTCAGGCTTTCACTCCTGACAAGTCTGCTCTCCCCCCTCCCCCCCCGCCACCGGGCAGGTCCTGGTGCCTCACCACCCTGTCCACACCTCTGGCCTCACCCGTCCTGAGGCAGGTGGGTGGGCAGAGCTCCTGCCGAGGCCCCAGGAGGAATGCAGGGTTTTCCCAGCTCCTCCACCCGCCCGCCTGCTCCTCTCTCTCCAGGGAGAGCCGCTGCCCTCCCACAGGGCTCACGCCACCACCTGCCTCTGCAATTCCCCACGTGCTCTGAGCAAGGAATTGAGCTGGGACTTTGCCGGCCTCTCCCTGGGCCACGTGTGGCTGCTGGTGTCGCCCAACCTGCCCTGTGTCTGTGAACACCTCCACTTGCACCATCCTGACAGACTCTGCCCAACCGTGGCTGCTTCTGGCCAGCCTCACGCACTTCAGACTCTGCAGGGACGCCTGCTGCCCAGCCTCTGCCAGTGGACTCTATCCCTCCTCCCTCCTCCCTTCTCTCCTGCCTCCTTGAGGAACCGGTTAGAGACAAGGAATTCAGAGATTAAGCAGCAGCTTTCCTGCTAATGCAGCCGGACTGAGATGTGATGGACGAGTCTGTAGCCAATGGGGCTTCTGGGAACCGACCCACGAGAGACTCACCACCCTGCAGCCTGAGGGACGCAGGCCAGACATGAGGTTCACTGCATCTGACCCCTCAACGGCAAGAGGAAAAGGAGCCGTTCACAGCCCTACTCTCGCCCCGAGAAAAGTGAGGGCAGAGCTGGAGTTACTGTAATGCAGCGATTCTCAGAGTGCTGCCCAGGAACCCCAAGGGGTCCGAGGTCAAAGTCACTTCTCCAGTCACCGAGACACTAGCCACACCAGACAGAGTCGGTTCGGCCGTTCAGGCTCCTGCAGGACGTAGCTTTACAACGAACAGAAACACGGACTGCTTGCTGGACAGGCACAGTTTAGAGTACATGATGTGATCAGCCTAACGCTCAAAGCACCCCTACGAGGCAGTACTATGCTCCCAGGCGACAGATGAGAAGACCGAGGCCCAGGGAGATAAAGAAAATGACCCAAAAGTCACGGGCTCAGAGAGGGGACAGAGGTGGTCACAGGTCTGCACTGTCCGCCCCACCAGGCACCTCCCACCCATCGTGTGCCGGTCAGGGCCTGGTGAGTAGCTTCGAACAGCATCACTGATCTGAAATTTCTTTCTCTCACTTTAAAAAGCTTCTCAATTTTACTGCATCTAGTAAAACAAAGTGACTAAACCCTACAGAAGCAGGATGTTCCTGAAGCCAAGCAGAACCCCCGTCCTAACCTTCTGGCAAACCCTGCAGGCGTTCCTTCTCTGGAGAGCTTGGCGGCCCGACTCTCCTCAGTCCGGGACCCGTGCCTCTGCCTGAAGGTCCCTGGCGCCACCCAGACAGAGTCAGGCTGCCTTAGAGGCGCTTCCCATCCTGGAACTCGTGAAGCAGATGGTCTGTGAGACGGGAGCCCCACCTTCTGGACTGTCCCTCTGGCCCCCCTTCCCTGGGAATGAACACTCCATGGGCCTCACCCCTGTCACCAACTTCCAGTGCTGGCGGAAAGGAAGAATGTTAGTTGGGCCCTGGCCGGTAGCTCAGTGGGTTGGAGCATCTTGCCGATACGCCAAGGTTGCAGGTTCGATCCTCATCAGGCTCATACAAGCAGCACCAATGAATGCATCAGTAAGTGGAACAACAAGTTGATGTTTCTCTCTTTCTCTCTCAAACCAATAAAAAAAGATGCTAACGTTTATATAAATTGAATTGCTGCATAATTTACAGTTTTAGTTTTGTTGGAAGAATTCTTGGTTGCTGCACAGAGCCATACTCCAAGCTGACAGGATAAATACGCTGGAAGCTGAAGAACAATAAAGAGTACTGGGTCCTTGCCGGCCCTGTGAGAATGGCATTTACAATTTCTAAGTGACCTGGATGTTCACTTTCGCTGGCAATGCCATTGACTGAATGAAGGCCTCCACCACCAGGGCGCTCACCCAGCCAGACACGCCCACCACGACCATCGCTCCCGTTGTCTCTCAGACGCGTCAGAGCGGCAGCACTGGGCCTCTGCTGGCTGAGGAGCGTTCCCCTGGCTGTCAGCAGGCCCCACACTGTCGCTTCTCACTCTTTCCTCCTCCATCTTATTGTCAGGGGCATTACCATCATTTCACCCGTACACTTTGTCCCAACACCCTCCGGGGAAAATGACAGGAAATGCCTGGCGTAGCAGCCAACCGCGATGCCTGCACCGACAACAGGTTTTAACTGAATGTGAGCACGCCGTTCTGTGCTGAGGGGCGCGGGAAGGATTGTGTTACAACAAAGAAGGGCGTCCCTCATTTCCAAAGAAAGCTTTCCTGCAGAGGAGGTCCCACAGGTTTAGAAAACAACTGGCAAACCGTGACCGTCTGAGAGCCCCGCTTGCCAGTTCACGCTGCTGGGGCAGTCTGTGGAGCACACTTGATGGTGAAAGTGGGGAGACTGCCCAGCTGGTGCGGCTCAGTGGGTAGAGCATTGGCCTGCAGACTGAAGGGTCCAGGGTTTGATTCCGGTCAAGGGCACATGCCTGGGTTGCAGGCTCAATCACCAATAGAAGGCGTGCAGGAGGCAGCCAACCAATGATTTATCTCATCATCGATGTTTCTATCTCTCCCTCTCCTTTCCTCTCTGAAATCAATAGAAAAAATAAAATATTTTTTAAAAGTGACTCACAAAACAAAGTGTGTAAAGATGGCTCATTCTTCATCCTTCTGTTCAGTCCTGCACGGGGTGCCCGGGGTGAGGATGTGACAATGATCTCGCCACAACTGGGCCCTTCACAAAGCTCAACACAGTCAGCTGCAGCTCCATCAGAAAGGAGCAGAACCCTCAGGACGCCCTGGACTCCAAGGCCACGCCTTTAAGATGTCACGTGACACATGTAAACCACGGGGTTCCACGAGAAGTCTGTAGAACCACGGAGGTCTGAACAGAAGCACTTGTCCGTTGTCAGGCCTGTCTGTCGACTCCCTGGGGGCACACTGTCGCACGTTTGCTACCTCTGTCTCCATCATGCCCAGAGCTCATGCCCACGTAGGCGGAGGGACAGAGCACAGTGCGTCCCACCTGCTCCGTGACTCTGCCTGTGTCACTGTCCTGTCAGATGGCGAGGTGTCAGGTCTCGGGAGAAGCACGTGTGCTGGGAGGGCAAAGCAAGCCTCAGTGAAAAAATCAGAGAGAGGCACCTCCCAGCCCCGCCCGCCGCCCATCGCCTCATGCAGGCACCTGGTCCTGTCTGTTTCTAGCTCCTCTGTGCACCGTGGAGGAAGCTGGTGACGTTGCGGACGTAACACAGTCCTTAGGAGAAAGTTTCAAAACTTCAAATAACCAGACAGTCTGGTCACTGTGTCCTTCCATTGTTTTCATGGCTTCGCTGTTTAAAGGATCCATGAAATGCTCGGAACGCAGGGAGGATCATCTCCAAAAGAAGTACCGTTGGCAACAAACCTCTCGAGAACTCAGGCAGGCGGCCTCCGTGCAGGCCCGGCTGGTGCCAAAGGAGCCCCCGTACACATCCCATGAGGTGCCCGGGAAACCAACGGAGACCAGCCAGTAGGTACGACTACCCCAGGCTTCCAGTGACCTACCTAATCGTGTACTCCCTAACATTTCTTTCTTCTTAGCTGCCAAGAGAACATTTTAATCAAGATAAATATCCTCTAACTGGTACTAAAACCTTAAGCCTAAGCACACAGATACACCTAGATAGGGTTTTCCCCAGGAACAGGGCCTTGCACCCTGCCTGGCAGCCATCCCTGAAAAACGGATCCTCCAGGCAGTGACGTCATGTCACAGCCTCTGAGGATCAACGCTGATCAGAACCCCCGGACAACTGCAGCCCAGCCAGGTGTTTCACGCTCCCATCGCCACAGAGCATCAGGGAATGCGAAGTACCAGAGCAGTTTCCCGGAATCCAACCCGCCTTCCTCGGGAAGAGAAGTTTCGGGTCCACGAGAGAGAAGTGTCTACCTATGTGCTAAACTGAAAATTCTTTATGAGCACAACCACACTGTAATGTCCCCTCTGCCCACCTCCACCCCGCCCTTCCCCCCCAAACCCACCCGCCCTCACGCAGACGTGCTTCAGCTAACTCTCCGTCTTCTCTCACCCAGGCCCTCCCGCCCCACCTCTGACATCTGTATCTGTTCTCGTAGCGTTTCTAGGGGCTGAAAGCCACTGCGAGACGTCTTCCCATCCCGCCTCTTCCCATCCCGCCGCAGCTGCAGGAGCCGTCACTGTCCCCTGCACCAGCAGGAGGCGAAGAAGCCGCAGAGCAGGCCTCTTACACAAACAGGACAGGCGAGGCCTGGCCCAGAGCCCTTTCTGGAAGAGGCTGAGACACAAACCCCGTCCGGCCAGGTGCCAACAGCATAGCAGCCCTGTGAGCTCCCTTTGTCTGAAGTCCCCGTTCCAGGCTCTGCGGTGACACGTGAGGTGGGAAACGCAGGGACCATCAGGTAAACCCGCAGGGAAACGGCTGCTCCCCTGGCACCTCCCTGGCACAGTGCGCGAGCGCACGCATGGCGCGGAGAAACCCAGAAAGCGCAGAGGCCGGCCCGGTCCCACCCGCGCCCGCAGAGCCGGAGCCGGTGCTGAGCAGCACCGAGCCGTCTTCTGAGCCCACTCCTGGGATATTTCTGCACCGCGAGGGAGCGCCGCTTTCTGCAGCGGCCAAGGCATCGAGTGTCCCCGGGAAAGGAAATACTCACTCTGACCACGTAGCTGAACCTGCGCACGTCCTGCACAGCGCTCGAAAAGTCCAGGCGGGTGAAGGCCTCCCCCAGCGTGCAGTAGCCGTGCCGCTGGAAGACAAGCAAACAGTCAGCGCGATGCACGCAAAGCCAACGACGCTCAGTGTGGGCGAGTCTGTGCCAACTGTTTTTTAACCGTCAGCAAAGGACAGTGTCTACCATGACGCAGACACACCCAGGTGAGTGGCGTCAATCACACCGAAGCTGACCTACCATCATGCATCACTGAGGCAGCACAGACAGCCTCACCCCGCAGGCAGGACGACAAAGACGGACCCATCACGCATCTCGCCGATTTCTTTTGTTGGGACACATTTGGGGGGAGGGCCAATGAAGCCTGCAATCATACGATAAGTGGGAATATTCTCGGCTACGACACTGCGAGCACACCCAGCAGGCGGCTGCTGTGAAGGGCCACTATGAACACGACCGCTGAGAATGTGACTGCTCGCAGGAGTCCCGAGGTCTGGACGTTTGCCCAACACACAGGCTGAAGGCAGAGGGGGGAGGGTGGAGGCGGGGCGATGTGACTACGGTGCAGGGCCTGCTCAGCACCCAAACCCCAAAGCTGGAATTAGACCCAGGTCCAAGAGTAAAAAAAATGAACAAAGTCAGTCTTTTATTTTTACTACTTTTTAAAACATATATCTATATATATATTTAATATATATATTAATGATTTCAGAGAGGAAGGGAGATAGAAACATCAATGATGAGAGAGAATCATTGATTGGCTGCCTCCTGCACGCCCCCTACTGGGGGTTGAGCCCACAAGCAGAGCATGTGTCCTTGACCAGGACCAAACCCAGGACCCTTCAGTCCGCAGGCTGATGCTCTATCCATTGAGTCAGTCTTTTAAAGAGCGAAACACCACTCTCTGCATAGATGGTTTTCTCCATGATGCACCTGCATTCCGATTGGTTTGTACATTAGGTGTCACTTTAAAGTCTACCTTCGGTATTTGAAATATGAAGAGTATAGAAAGAGATTTTCAATTCAGAGTCCTGGGACAGACAAACTGGGGGCCAATCACAGAAAACCCCAGGGTGGCAGGGGAGGGTCTAGAAGAGGAGGCTCGCCCTAGCGCAGCTAAGACACATGGGAAGGGCTTGTGGTTTGTGCAAGTCCCAAGAAGAGTCCTACTGGGTGCACAAACCAACAAGATGCATTCACTCACAGCACTCAATACCTATTTTTATGGAGTATGTACTGTATGAAAAGTATTTTCTGGGGGGCTGTGGGGAGCAAAGCCTAGACAGAACCTGAACTTGATTCCAGCTGGTACTTCTCCTCCAATGTCTTCTCAATGAACAGAGCTGTGTGCTGGTGTAGGAGACGCCTGTCCAGGCAGCCCCTTCTCACAACAGCCTCTTCTGTTGGGGGACTTAAATCTGATCCACAGAGCACATCGCCCCGTCTGAACCACATGAGCTCGCCACCTGGTGGGGGCCTGGAGCCATGCAGGCAGGCGCTCAGTGTCTGCGGGCGGCCAGTCGGCCATGTAGACGGGCAGCAGAGATACCTGGTCCATCCAGGTGAGAAGACTGACAGCAGAGTGAGGCCGAGACAGCTGGCGAGAGACGTGCCAGCTCTCAGTCCGTCCCTGCTCCCGCCCTGAGCTGGTCACCCTGTGCTCCTGGGATCAACAGATCCACCGGCACCTGCAGACTCACATAAGTTCTGTTCGGTTGCTTGCGCTGGCCTAAGCTGGTTCTCTTTTCTGCCATCAGTGTGGTAACATAGAGCAAATGAAATCTGAAAGAGTCTTAAGTCAGCTCAAGTTATGTTAGATTCTGCCAAACATTCGTGTAACGGTGCATTAGACTGTATGCGAAGGATCAGTCCCTCCGTACCCACTAACAATGTTAACCGCCACCAAGTAGTCAAATAACGTTCTGTCTCAGAAGCTGGGCCAGTTTCAGGTCACCCACTACTAACGCCTCTGGAACAGGTAACTTACGCCAACGGAATGTATACTAAACAATTACCCCCCAAATCATTCCCCAGTGGCTGCAAAATAAGGCAAGTGCCAAGTTCCTCAGACTGCAAAGCAGGTAAGCTTCCCGGACGGACGCTAAGCAGAGAGAAAGGAAACAGGTGGAAGTGAGTGGACTGTTTCATGGCTCATAGCAACACTTCTCCAACTCGGCAAAGCAAAGGAGGGGAAAGGTTCACTGCTCTTTGCCCAGTCACAGTCAGTTACGACGTCAGGTCAGCTGCCCGGCCTGGGAAAGGAGGGTTAGAGTTCTCCCAGTCCCAGCCCGGCAGGCCCACGCAGCCCCCTGCTAGCAGCAGGGCTCCGGAGGAGCAGCTCTTGGGAGAGCAGGCCCACCCTTGTTCTGTTTATTCAGGTTTGTGCCAGGGGCATCGACCACACACACACACAGACGTCTTCACAGGGTTGATGTTGCAAAAGAAGTAACTTATTTAATGTGAAGTTACATGTTCAACAGGACAAAACATATACGCTTACTCACAACAGAATACTTACTTCTCTTGTGCTTTCTTTGTGGACATAGATCCATTTTTCACGAAAAAAACCTAGAACAGAAATTAACTTTGTTTTTAAAATCTGGGGAATAATTTCAAAACGAAGATTTTCAGGAACTTAAAATAGTTGCATAAGTTAACAAAATTATCTGATATACAGATTGAGATGCCTTTACTTGTTAAATGTGAACAGAATTCTTTGTTTCTTTTTTTCTAAATTTAACTTTATTGATTTCAGAGAGGAAGGGAGAGGGAGAGAGAGATAGAAACATCAATGATGAGAAAGAATCATGGATCGGCTGCCTCCTGCACGCCCACATTGGGGTCAAGCACACAACCCAGACATGTGCCCTGACTGGGAATCGAACCATGACCTTCCGGTTCATAGGTCAATGCTAAACCACTGAGCCACACTGGCTGGGCAAATTCTGTTTCCTAACGTTAGTTTAAGAGGTGCTGAAACACATCTTTACATGAAATATGATTTTCAGACAGTGCCAACTTTTAGTAACTTAGAAGAAAATTAGTTACTAATGACTATAAATACGAAAACATAAAAGTACAATCAATAAAAAGTCCTATTCTTCCGTCCTTGCCTTTAAATTGTATTTGATTCAATTTTTTCATGTAATTGAATCCTAAAGTTTCAAGGGTCATGATAACTCCCCCCCACACAGGGCCCGACCTTCCTCAGCAGACTGACTACACGGGAGCACTCCTCACAACTTACAGAGGCGCTCAGGGCAGAGCAGGGGCGGCACAGGGGAGTGGCTGCCTCCCCCAGGGGCTCACCAGCTCTGACCACCTTTGTGTCTTGCTCCGAAGAGCAGCGCCTCCTGCACAAAAGTCCAAAGTCAAGACGCTTCAGGCTGGGCCTCAGTGCCTGGCAGCAAACTGATGGCGACCACTGTTCAGTCGCTCAGATGTGCGAGCTCTGTAGTGGGTTTGCTACCCTTTGTTTTGTTTCTGCCAATCTTACTAACAAAATGGTTGAGCATTAACCCATGAACCAGGAGGTCATAGTTTGCTTCCCAGTCAGGGCACATGCCCAGGTTTTGAGCTCAATCCCCAGTAGGGGGTGTGCAGGAGGCAGCCAATTAATGATTCTTTCTCATCACTGATGTTTCTATCTCTCCCTCTCCCTTCCTCTCTCCGAAATCAATCTATATATATAAAAAGCCAGCGACCATAATGCCATAACGAACGGTCGCCATGATGCCCACTGCAGCCAGTGAACCAGCCCGATCAGGGGGGCGGGGCCAGCCAGCCAACCTCCTGCAGCCCCTCCCCCCACCCGGCCTCACCCCAGATCTCCCCCGCCCCCCACCCTGATCAGGGGCAGGGCTGGCGGCCAACTACCCATGGCCCCTCCCGCAGGTCACTGATTCCCCAATTGGCCCCCCCACCCCATTCGGGGGCAGAGCCAGCCAGCGCACTGCTCATAGCCCTTCCCCACGGCCAACCCCAACCCCAGTCAGCTCCCACTATCCCGATCAGCCTGCAGCCCCTCTCCCCAGCCAGTTCCGCCCCCAATCGGCCCCCCCACACCAATAGGGAGTGGGGCTGGCAGACCAACCTCCCACGGCCCCTCCCACGGCCACTGACCCCCAATCGACCCCGCCACCCCATTTGGGGGCGGGGCCGGCCGACCCACCATTCACAGCCCCTCCCCAGAGCCACCCCTGCCCCCAATCTGCCCCCTCACCCCAATCAGGGGCAGAGCCTGCTGGCCAATCACCCATGGACACTCCCCCCAGCCGGCCCAGCCCTGATGGGGCCCTGATTGGCGGGTAGGCCGACCAACCACCCACAGTCTCCTCCTCCTGACAGGCCTGGCCCCGATCCGCCCCGATTGGGGGCAAGGCCGGCAGGACCCCACCCGTACACAAATTCGTGCACTGGGCCTCTAGTAAAAGCATATTTTTTAAAAACACAAAAAATGATTGAGCTGCAAAAGCTTTGATCACTAGTCCTGTGGGCAACACTGGAGAAGGGCTATTAAGACCTCTGGGCCGCCTTTCCTGTGCGCGTGTGGAAGTGACTTAGTGTGCCAACATATTCCAGTAAAATATAACATGTTAAACATGATCTTACATTGAGTATTGCTGTCATTTCTAAAATGGTCCTTTTTCCTTTTCTTGGAGGCATATCCATGCTCCTCACTAGTAAATATGTCGTCATCTTCACTATTTAGGATTCTGAAATAAAGATAGATTTTATTAAAACGTATTTATAGGGAGATCTTCATTTGGCTTATCTTTTTAAAAAATGATAGTAAGTATCTGGCTTGCAATTTAGGAGATCAAAATAAAAAACTTGATGAATTCTGAAAGCAAGCTGTTCATTTTCAAAGCGACACATCACAGCTCGGCATTACACAGCTAATGTCTAATGTATTCTTTTTCTTTTGAGAAACCTAAGGCTTATCTCGGTTCTTCTGAGAATGTTAGCCCAGGAGTGCGAGGCATGTTCCATTGTCCCAAGGGTTTTCATGTGCTCATGCGGTTTCAGACTTCAAAATGCTTCAGTAAAACAGGGAGATTACAGCCCTAACCGGTTTGGCTCAGTGGATAGAGCGGTCAGCCTGCGGACTAAAGGATCCCAGGTTCGATTCTGGTCAAGGGCATGTACCTTGGTTGCGGGCACATCCCCAGTGGGGAGTGTGCAGGAGGCAGCTGATCGATGTTTCTCTCTCATCGATGTTTCTAACTCTCTATCCCTCTCCCTACCTCTCTGTAAAAAAATCAATAAATTTTTTTTTTAAGAAAGAAGTGCCTTCCTTTAAAAACAAAACAAAACTGGGAGATTATAAACTAAACTGGAAACACTCTGGGAACGTTAATGTGAAGGGTCATACCCGACAATGACTAATGATTTGCCACATCCCCCGATCCAATGTGAACACTGGCCATAAAGGACCTGTTAGCGCAGATGGACTTCACATATACGGAATTTTCCATGCAAAAGCAAGAGAACATTCTGCTCAAGCACACAGGGAACATTTTCCAGGACAGATCATATGTTGAGCCACAAAACAAGTCTTTAAGAAATTAAGATTGCAATCATATCAAGCGCCCTGGTCAGTGTGCTCAGTGGTTAAAACATCAGTCATGCATAGAAGTGTCCCAGGTTAGATTTCCAAGCACGGGCGCGTACCTGGGTTGTGGGTGTGATCCCCGCCCCAGTCAGGGTGAGTGCTGGAGGCAGCCAATCCAGGTGTCTCTCTCACATGGATGTTCCTGTCTCTCTCTCTCTCGCTCACTCGCTCTTCCCCTCCCTCCTCTTCCCTTACACTCTCTCTAAAGATCAATAGAAAAAATATCCTTGGTTGAGGATTAAAAAAAAGAAGAAATCATATCAAGTACCTTTTCTGACCACGATTTATGAACCTGAAACCAATTACAAGAATAAAACAGGAACATCACAAATATGTGATTACACAACACGCTATTGGACAACCAGTGAGTCAAACAGGAAATCAAAAGAGAAATTATAAAAATACCTTGAGACGAATGAAAATGGAAATACACCAAAACTTACAGGATGCAGCCAAAGCAATTCTAAGAAAGGGTTCCCATGATAAAAGCCTCAACAAGACACAAGAAAGCTTTCAAATGAGCACCTAACTTCACACCTCAAGGAACTAGAAAAAGAAGAACAAAGGAAATGAAGAACAGAGCAAAAATAAACAAAATAGAGATTTAAAAAAATCAATGAAACTAGGAGCTAGTTTTTTAAAAAACATAAAACTGACAAGCATTTAGCTAAGAAAAAAAGACTCAAATAACCAGAAATGAAGGAGACGTCACAACTCAAGCTCCTCACGTACAAAGGACAGAGACCCGATGTGAACAGGCTGGGCAACCTCCAAATGACAGCGTGGGTCCGAAACCCACCACCTGCCCGCTCTGAGCCACCAACCAGAACCGGAGCAGAGGGACTCCCAACCTCCCGACAAAGTCATGTCCAGGGCCAGACGCCTCCTGGCAAATCCCAAACACCGAAGACCGTGGGCCCTGTCGCACTCTCCCAAACACGGGAGCCTCGCCCGCAGGCCAGGCCCAGTCCCCTCCCCGCGACTTCTCCAGGCCCTGGGCTCGGCTCAGCGCAGTCCTCTCTGGCGGCTCCAAGGCGATTTCTCTGAAGCAAATGTTTTCATGCCTTTTCTTTGGTAAAAAAGGCGCTTGCTCATTCTTATCCATGTCATTCCTTTTCACCCTCTCACGGCCCGAAGCCCCTCAAACATTACACACAAGCTACATTTCTCCTGTGCAGAACAGGATCTCTGCTGGAGAAGAACTCTCCCTTCTCCTGCCACACAGGTCAGGACGATGATGCGCCTGCTGGCTTGTCACTGACACAGGCGGCAGGACAGACCTCCGAGTCCAGATGCATCCCCGCGAGCAGGCAGGTACACAAATGCCCTGGGCGTGTGCTGGTCTGACGCCGGTGCCAGCTTTCTAACCACATTTTCCTTCCTAGTCACTGAAGAAGACAATGTAAGGAAGGCATCAGGCTGTCACTGAAAGCCGCACATCCCCCAACAGCCCGCGGGAACACCACCACCGCCGGCAGAGGCGCGTGTCGGAGTAAAGGAGCGGGGACAGGAGCGTCTCCCGGGGCTGAGGCCTCGGAGCACAGTTCTTATTTCCAGGGCTAGTGGGCCCCTGGATTCTCTGACCTGGTGTGACCAGAGACTGTTTTTGCATTTTTGTAAGGGAACCAAAAATGCAGTTTCTTTCCTTTTTTCCTTGGGAGACGCACAATTTAAAAATGTTTGTGTGTTTTCTTAGAGAATCCCACTCTTGGGATATCTTGGGTACGACTAGAGTTGAAGATAATCCTCATGGACTCCCAGGTCTCCGATGACCTCCACTGCTATGCCCAGTGAACCCAGTAACCAAAATAAATCATAAAATATTCACATTCGGACAGGAAGCTGAATGTGAATGAGATGTAAGTAAAAACAATGCAGTGAAGATTTAATAAGTTAAACGCCAAGGGGAAACCCCAGAAGGGTCCTGTTCGGGCAGCGTAGGACACAGTGCACATGGCCTTGCGCCTCTGTGCCATCTCAGCTTCCCAGAGCCCACAGGGAAGGCACTGAATCCCCGGGCAACACTACGGACTCCATAGACAGGACCCCACACTGCGCCGCAAGGCCCCTCCTTCACAAAAACCAAGCCAAACCGCAGACAGAGGCCTTCTGGTGGAATTCCAAAAACACGCCCACCGAAACCTGCCCGCCAGCGCTCCCACAACCACCTGTGCCCGTGGCCCCTGAACCTTCCCTGGACCTGGTCGGGGGACAGAGAGGAGCCTGGCTGGCCGGCCTCACCATGGAAGGTCTTTTCTTTCCTCACAGCACTGGCTTCCACGGTGTCGGGCAGTGACCCTCGCGCGGTAACAATGCAGCGTCCACGTGTGGGAACCAGGCAATGTCCTGGCTCAGACCTGAGCTACATAACGTCCTCCCTCCCACCAGCCTTGGGCGCGGGCAACTCGCAGCCAAACGACAGTGACAGAGCTTTGCAGCGCCTGGAGAGGAAATGAACCCTGGGGGCCGCAGGGCTGTGCGTACATGCTGTGCGGGACGCTGCGCTGGGCGCTCTCTCGGTCCAGGTCCTGCCGCCAGGGCTCACAGCGCTTCCAGCCGTCCTCCGTTTTAACCCAGCTCCATCCGGGAGATCGCCAGTCCTGGCCCAGAAACGGCATCGCTCTGTAAAAACAGTTGATTCACGTTTAAAAGTGAGTAATTGGCAAGTTTCGCTTCACTGAGATCACTTCTCATTAGTCTTTAAAAAGTAAGTGCTTACTTAATATTTAAATGTCTGCACAGGCATTAAGTGCTGGGTGACAGGGGGATAAAGCGGTGGCGATAACAGTGCCTCCACAGCGCTGAGTGACAGGCTGGGATGCGGAGTGGTGGGTTTACTAGCTCCATGCTGCTCAGTCAGGTCACCAGGGGCTGGCTCCCAGCTGGAGAACCAGCGGGGGGGGGGGGGGGGGGGGGACGGGAGCGTTATCCCACACAGAGAGCTCTCTTCGCCAGAAATCGGAGCAACATAAAGGAGGCACGTTCATGTCCATCACCCGTAGGCAGTTTGATCTGGTTGAAGCTTAATGAGCAGTTGAGGGTGGAGAAGTGATGGGGGACAGTCAGGCAAAGGAGACCGAGGGCCCAGAAAGGAACCTCCAGGTGAGTGATTGGATCACACCTGAGCTTTACATACAAACTGGGGTCACACTGTGAAGACCAGACTGAGGGTGCGCCTGGAGGAAACAGTTAGGACTGGAGGCTACGGAATATTGGCCTGTAAGCGATGAGAGGGCGTGGCTGCAGGAGGAACAGTGGGAGGAGGAACCACTGAGGAGGGGGAGGCCATGGGGGGCTTCTCTCTGTCTCCCCCAACTCCCAGGGAAGCCAGCGACAAGGATGTGAGCTCCCAGCAAAAGCACCCGGTGCCCGACCGGCTGGAACAGAGAAGAGGGCTGATTTCAGTTTGGACATGGACATGCCTGTGGGCTTTGCTATGCCTGTGGTGACAGCCACTACACTAGACTCCAGGTATAAAAATAGGACTTAAAATGAACCCTAAAGCTTAGGGAATACCAGCTGGAATACCAGCTCTCCCACTGCCTCCAGCTGCCTGCCCTGGCCTTGCTGGGCACGAAGTCGGGAAGCGTTCACAGCTCCCGCGCTGCCCGCTGCCCCTCCCAGGTCTCTCGGCCCTGACGAGTGATGGCACAGCGGGAGGCGCTGTCTGGAACACGTATGCGGTTCCTGTCTTCCTCCAAGAAAACGCCATGTCTTGTTCAGCTCTGTGACCCGCCTACGGTGAACAGTGCCCGCACACGCAGGGGCTGGGTAACACCGAGTGAGCACATGCACCACAGACCCATGGCCAGGAGACAGCAGGCTGGAGAGCACAGGACGCCAGCACACGCGGCCACCAGAGCCCCAGGCGCGCCATCAGAGAGGAACAGAGTCCGCAAAGAGACTGCATCTAGCGGACACGCAGAGGAAGATAAGCCCAGAAAGGAAGCTGAAAGGAAGAGGCTTTCAGAGAGGGAGAGCAGGATGTCAAGAGAACCAAGTATTTTAAGAAAGAAATGATGTACAAAGAGGAAAATGTTATAAAGAAGCCAGTACTGTAAGAATTGAAAGTTATACACTGAGTTTAGCTACAACACAGTAGCTGATCACTCAACCAAAAACAGTTTCAACAGAATAATGTCTTATATCAATCTGAGGTCCCAACGCGGACTTGGTGTATTTCACGAATGTGGAGTATTTACAGGGCACATGAGATGGAAATGTTCAAATAGAATCTCCAACTATGTTCGGTCTGACTCACGCAGGTTATTAAATAGGCGTTTACAATGGCTCAGAAGAGACAAAATTCTCAGAAGGAAATGGTAAGTCTTCCACAGGATTCCTGGGTCAGCTACCAGTGCTCAGCTCCTGAACGGATGTACGAAATGTGTGATGAAGAGAATCCCCAAACCAGCTAAACTGATTTATAACCAGAACACATCTCCTTCAGTCATATATTAATTTAAGTTCCTGCTTTAGAAGACACTTAAAATCACTCCTTAAGTCTTAACACTATTTTGACAAGCCTCACCTTTCAGACTGGCTCTACAGCCCAGCCCCACTGACATGCAAAAGCCGCCAGCAGGCCCAGCCATTGGCAGGATCATCTAGGGCAGCGGTTCTCAACCTTCCCAACGCCGCGACCCTTAATACAGTTCCTCATGTTGTGGTCACCCCCAACCATAAAATTATTTTCGTTGCTACTTCATAACTGTAATTTTGCTACTGTTACGAATCGTCATGTAAGTATCTGATATGCAGGATGTATTCTCATTGTTACAAATTGAACATAATTAAAGCATAGTGATGAATCACAAAAACAATATGTAATTATACATGTGTTTTCTGATGGTCTTAGGCGACCCCCATGAAAGGGTCGTTCGATCCCCAAAGGGTCGCAACCCACAGGTTGGCGACCCGCAGGTTGAGAACCGCTGATCTAGGGCATGTGCTGTTTTATTTTCATAAAGCTTCAGGTACAGGCCAGAGAAGACTCTACAAAAGGCAAGTCCTGCGATGTAGTCTCATAAGAAACATACCAAAGAAAAATGTCTGTTAGGACCATCTTTGACTGTCAAAGTATCAAAGAATCTTTCAATATCATTCCATGGATTCAGAATCTGTGATTAAAAACGAAAAGTCTGGTGGCAACTGTGCAGAATATTGCTAAACAGACCAACTAATTACAGGATTACTCCAATGACAAACCTGTAAGCACAGATAGTATTACTATGCTATCTGCACCTTCCCTGAGTGTGCACCGTCTAGCTGAGAAACTAAAAAAAAGAGAGAAAACCACACAATAATATTAACACATGCAGATATATATAAAACATAAACCAATATATACATACTAGAGGTCCAGCGTGCACGAAATCGTGCGCAGTTAGGGTCCCTGGGCCTAGCCTGGCCTCCGTCGCATGGCCTCTGCCACCCTGTAACGCTAGGTGAAGCTCCCCGCCCCAAGATGCTCTGCAAACCTGCGACTGCTCCGCGAGGCTTGCTGCCGCCCCATGAAGCTCACTTCTGAATGCTCCGTGAAACTCCCTCTCCCCCCACCCGTGACTGCTCTGCGAAACTCTCTGCCCCCCCATGACTGCTCTGCTAAACTCACAGCCACCCCGCCACCGCCACTCAACAGTCCCCAGTCCCACCCCACCGCCAGCACCCCCCATAGTGAGCGGCTCGGGGGTTTGGGGGGGGGGGGACCGAGAGGTGCTCCATGCAATTCATGGTGACCAGTCGCCCGTTCAGTCGTGACGGCACCTAGCTCTTTATATATATTAGGATGTGCAATTCTGTAATGTGGGTTCTGAATGAGTAGTAGAGAGGGAATAACTGACAGAAATTCAGAGAAAAAAGCAAACCCCTGGGAAACCTCTGAAGAGAACAGAACATGAGCTCAGCCTTGAAGCTCAGTGGGGCCTTCAGTGAATGGAGAGGCAAAGACAACATACCAGTCACCGAAGTGGCGGCGGGAAAAACCTGCAGATGGGAATGTACGTGACTCGCATGAGAATACTGAGCAGAACAGGTTGGCTGAAATAGAGAAAGCTACAGGAAGGTTGCTAGAGAGAAACCAAGATTGGTGACTAGAAGCCACATCAGAGAATGTTGACTGTCAAAAGTATTGGGACCTTATTCTCTGACTGGAGGCCTGATGCACGAAATCCGTGCACGGGTAGGCCATCAGGGCTGATTGGGGCCTTCCAGCTGCTGGCCGGGGCCTTCCTCCCCCCTACTGCTGGCTGCCAGCTGGGGCCTTCCCTCATTCCATGCCACCCCTGGTGGTCAGTGCACATCATAGTGAGCAGTCGAACTCCCTGTCGGTCAAACCCCCGAGGGGACAATTTGCATATTAGCCCTTTATTATAGAGGGTAATCAAAAGTTTTAAAGCCATGTAACAACATACACAGAAACTGTTTTAAGAATTACTTGCCGCCTTAACTGGCTTGGCTCAGTGGATAGAGCGTCAGCCTGTGGACTGAAAGGTCCCAGGTTCGATTCCGGTCAAGAGCATGTACCTTGGTTGCGCTCACATCCCCAGTGGGTGGTGTGCAGGAGGCAGCAGATCCATGTTTCTCTCTCATTGATGTTTCTGACTATCTCTCTCTTCCTCTCTGTAAAAAATCAATAAAACATTAAAAAAAAAAAAAAAAAAAGAATTACTTGCCAGGGCCTATAGATCAAATGGGAAAATAGAGGCAGAAATAACAACTAATCAGGCAAAAGGAACTGCTTGCTGACATCTCAGGTCACAAAATACTCTAAACTGTATGACATACAAACATTATACTTGGCTGTTTTGAGGCTATGCCCACTCATACTCAGTACACGTATATTAGGCCTCACGAGCCATTTACGTAGCATCTGCACTGTGAGAGTCAGCTGGGTGTTCCTAGTAAGACACTCAATTCCTTTACAACTACCAAAACACTACAGATAATTCATTTTTACTTTAAAAACTCTTCATAAATTAACACAGTTGGTCTGAATTTTTCAGCTGCTAAGTAGTTGTATTTCCATGGGTTGGAAGAGTGAAATGCAGCTACATGGACAATGGAAATAAAATTAGCACATTTCCAAAGTTTTCTTTTTAGAAGAGGAAAATATTTGTTTCACTGTAGATGTGTGCATTCCATAGGTTTGTCATGTTAAGCTCTTTGAATTACAATATGCTCTTTGGATTACTTTAAAATATAATCTACAGATTGTGAACTAAAAAGCAGCCTTCATAAGCAGTTATTATAAACAGTAGAAAAGCTATGGGGTCGGGGAGGGGGACAATCACAAATTGCAATTTCAAAGACGTGGGTCTCAAATTTCCAAAAATATTTTTGCCCAGCTGGGTGGCGCAGTGGTTGAGCGTCGACCTATGAACCAGGAGGTCACGGTTCAATTCCTGGTCAGGGTATATGCTGGGGGCTGTGGGCTTGAAGCCTGGTGTGGGGCCTGCAGTAGGCAGCCAATGATTCTCTGTCATCACTGATGTTTCTCCCTCCCTCTCACTTCCTCTCTGAAATCAATTAAAAAATACATTATAAAAAGAAATTTCCAATCTAACTTTGCAAATCAGTAGATATCATGAACTTTTAGAATGAGGATGAGCCCAGCCAGTGTGGCTCAGTGGTTGAGCATCAACCCATGAACCAGAAGGTCACAGTTCGATTCCCAGTCAGGGCACATGCCAAGTTGGGGGCAGCCTCTCTCTCTCTCCCTTGCTCTCTCTGAAATAAAAAATAAGTTAGAGCCCTGACTGGTTTGGCTCAGTGGATAGAGCGTTGACCTGTGGACTGAAGGGTCCCAGGTTCGATTCCAGTCAAGGGCATGTACCTTGGTTGTGGACACATCCCCAGTAGGGGGTGTGCAGGAGGTGGCTGATCGATGTTTCTCTCTCATCAATGTTTCTAACTCTCTATCCCTCTCCCTTCCTCTCTGTAAAAAAATCAATAAAATATATATTAAAAATAAATAAATAAATTAGAATGAGACTGACCCATCACTTTTTGAGAATTTATGTATCTGTTCTGCCACAGACCTGAATCGCTAGAGTTTTATAATATACGTTTATTTTAATTAAAATTACCTTTGAGATTTTCAAAATGCAGAAATAAAAACTAGAAATCACTGTTGAAAATTAAATGTGTAAGCGCAACTATTGAAAGGGTGGGGCTCAGCTGTGAAACAGCTGGTACAATTTCCAATTTTATGCCAACTGATGCGAGAGCACGGGCTCAAACTCAGCTAAACCTCCCCTTCACCTCGACTTCGCGGGCTGAGAAGAGGGCGGGGCGCGAGGGACAGGGCCTCAGGAAGTTCACTTGCAGTGGAAATTCCTGACGCGAGAGCGTCAGACTCATCAGGAAACGCCTCTCCTGCAGCAAGCATACTTTTTGTAACTAATGCGAACAGCAGACATTTATTAGATCTTAGTCCGGGTAAGGCGTTACTCTAACCGTTCACCTGTCTGATCTCCCGGAGGCCTCACACCACCCTACAAGGCAGACAATGTCTCACCCTCATCTCACAGGTTAATTCTCCCATCTGTCGGTGAAGACACGGGCCAACAGCTGGCGGGGCGGCATTCACACTGGTGGACTGCCACTCCAGGCTCGATGCGTATTGTTGTAACAGCACAGCCTGAAGGCCTTATAACAGAGGTCACAGAACTGCGGAGTTTTTCTTCTCATTCACCTTTTGTTAGACATATACCAGAAATAAGCTAAGTAACCACTGATCCTTCTTATATAATAAAAGGGTAATATGCAAATCGACCGAATGGCGGAACGACCGGTTGCTATCACACACACTGGCCACCAGGGGGCAGGCACTCAACACAGGAGCTGCTGCCTGGTGGTCTGGGAATGCAGCTCAGCCAGAAGCCAGGCTCATGGCTGGTGAATGCAGCAGGAGTGGCGGGAGCCTCTACGGCAGTGGTTCTCAACCTGTGGGTCACAACCCCTTTGGGGGTCGAACGACCCTTTCACAGGGGTCACCTAAGACCATTGGAAAACACATATATAATTACATATTGTTTTTGTGATTAATCACTATGCTTTAATTATGTTCAATGTGTAACAATGAAAATACATCCTGCATATCAGATATTTACATGACAATTCATAACAATAGCAACATTATAGTTATGAAGTAGCAACAAAAATAATTTTATGGTTGGGGGTGACCACAACATGAGGAACTGTATTAAGGGTCATGGCATTAGGAAGGTTGAGAACCACTGCTCTAGGCAGAGCTAAAGACCCCTAAGGGGGATGTCTGACTGCCAGCTTAGGCCTGCTCCCCGTGGAAGGCAGACATCCCCCAAGGGGTCCTGGACTTCCAAAGGGCGCTGGCAGGGCTGAGGGACACCCCCTCCTGCCCCCCCTACCCCCAATGCATGAATGTCCTACACCCACCAGGCCTCTAGTGTGCTCAGGAGTTAGAGCGTTGGCCCTCGGACCAAAGTGTCTCGGGTTCAATTCCTGGTCAAGAGCACCGACCTGGGTTCAGGTTTGATCCAGGGCCCAGGGGGCAACCAGTCAGTCTCTCTCTCTCTCTCTCTCTCTCTCTCTCTCTCTCTCTCTCTCTCTCTCTCTCCCCCTGCCCCCATCCCTCCCTTCTACTATCTTGAAGAAGAAGAAAAATCAATGGGAAAAATAAAAATATCCGCAGGTGAGGGAGGATTAACAAAAAAAAGACAAGACTACGTATGTTTTCTACTTGTTTTCCGGGTAGAGGAGCGACTCAGTCAGGCATCCATCAGTAAGTACCTGTGAGTGTGGCAAGGAGCCACACCATGAACATACCGCCACCAGGGACAGCGCGCTGCAGGGCAATGTGAAGGCGCTTTCGGAGCGAAAAACCTGGCAAAGGAGCCCCCTCATGTGTCATTTTCATCATCGGTTTTGAAAAAGTCAGTTTCGTTGCTGTCAGAGTCACCGTCCCGCTTACCATCCGGCCTTTCTCACTGCTCTGCGCTCCCCACAAAGCTCCTCACTGCGGACCAAATGCTGATGGGGGTGCCGAGTGCAGGTCCTGGACCGCGAAGGACGTGAGGACTGAACCGAGGGTTGGGGCCGCGCTGCTCGCTGCCCTGGCCCGGGAGGGACCCCCTCTGGGTGCGGCCCGGAAGGGACCCCCTCTGGGTGCGGGGAGGGACCCCCTCTGGGTGTGTCCGGGAGGGACCCCCGCTGGGTGCGGCCCGGAGGGGATTGGGCGCGGCCGGGAGGGACCCCTCTGGGTGCAGCCGGGAGGGACCCCCGCTGGGTGCGCACGGGAAGGGGTTGGGTGCGGCCCGGGAGGGGGGACCCCCTCTGGGTGCGGCCCCGGAGGGACCCCCGCTGGGTGCATCCTGGGGGCGGGGCGGGCGCTGAGGAAAGGGGGAGGATGACGCAGGAAAGGGGGGGAAGAAAAGGCATTTTCCGACGGGGCGGGACGGCCGGGGTTGGAGGAAACGGAACCTGAGTTCGGGACGAGTCTGCGCGGCCCGGGGAGGCGGCGGGGCGGACGGAAGCGTCCGCGGGAGCTACGACGGGGACGGAGGGCGGAGCCGGGGCGGCGGGAGGCTGGGCGGGGGCGGCCCCAAACGCCCCGGGACGCGGGTCCCCAGGCGGGGCGGCGAGGGGCGGGCCCTAGGTCGGCGCGGCGAGCGGGACCCCGGCGCGGACGCCGGCGGAGGGGGCGGACACGGAAGGCGGCCGAGCACGCGCAGACGTCTCCCCGGCACCGCCAGGGCCGAGCCCCCGAAGGCAGCGGGCTCCGGGCGGCCACACCCCGTCCCTACCTGCGCGCCGAGTGTCCCCGCTCCCACCTGCAGCGCCGGCCACCGCGGAGCCCACCTGACCGCGGCGGCGCGTCCGGGTTTATTGCCGGAAGTCGCTGCGGAAAGCCGCGCCCTCAATCCTGATTGGCCGACGCGGGCCGCGTGACCGTGTTGCTACCCGGGTCGGGAGGCCAATGCGCGGGCATGCGCAGTGGGGCAGCCTCCCGCTCTCCGGGCAGTGTAGTCCTTGCGCCGAGCGGAGACGCTCCCCCGGCCGGGGCCTCCTCCGTCCTCCCGCCCAGCCAGCGCGGGCACCGGGAGGGGGAGCGGAGCGGGGCCCGTGGTGTTCGCAGCAGCAGCACCTGATCCCGGTGGCGCCGGGCCTGCGGCCAGAGGGCTCCCCACCTAGTCGGTTCCCACCCCAAGCACCGAAACCCACGAGCAGCGCGAGCGACCGAGATTCGCTTTCCGACCTGTGCGCCGGGTTATTTTTTATACGTAGTTTGAGGCGCAAGGGCTGTGCACTTACAAGCAATTCAGGGTATTGTTCAGATCTTTCTAGAAGGTGGCCATCTCCCCGAGGAGAAGGAACCCCTCAGGCTGCAGGTGCGGGTCACAGGGGGCCGAGTCCAGCTGGAAGCAGGGCCGCTGAGGCAGGGTCCGGAAAGGCTGCCCACGAGCCCGGTGAACGCACGGTCGCCTTATCCGTCTGGCCTCAGGTCCTCACCATGCAAACACTTAAAGCAGTGCTTGGTGCATGGTGATCAGAGGCTGGTATCTGATCTTAGTAGTTTTCTTTATCAAATGTGGTTTTGTATTTGGAACACACTGCAGGAAGCATATTTTTAAATATATTTTTATTGATTTCAGAGAGGAAGGGGGAGAGAGAGAGAGAGAAACATCAGTGATGGGAGAGCATCATTGATCGGCTGCCTCCTGCACACCTCCTATCGGGGGTCTAGCCCGCACCCTGAGCATGTGCCCTGACTGTGCTAGGGGCTGGGGCCTGGCAGAGAGGAATTACTGAGTAGGCTGAGGGGCAGGGACCATGGGAGAGGAAAATTGCTGATTATCTCGCTAGAAAAGCAATGTGTTATGATTAAACCCAGCCAGGTGTGGCCTTGCTTTCCTCCCGTTTGTACTTGTAAACTTTACGAGAACTTTTACCCAGCCAGTATCAGAGACGGCTAATGAACCGCTTTGCAGTTTGTTTTTTTCTTTTCAGAAATACTTTGTAGTATTGCAGATAAAAGGCTTTGCTGTACTCTTGGTCTGCACTGCAAGCTGCGAGGCTCTTACGCGGCTGTAGTCAGCTGGCCAGCTTAATAAAGGCTCTTAAAATTTAAATTTTGAGTCGGTGGTCTATCTCACTGATTGAACCCATAACATTTGGGGGCTTGCCCAGGATCCCCGGCAGGGGTGAGAGGGACCCCTTATTTAGGGCAGGAGGCTCTCCCCCACTTGTTGCCGGGCATGCAGCGAGATATCCCACATCCCTGTGGGGAACGACTACCTAGGAGGCCTCCAGTCCACCCAAAAACTTTCAATTCGGAAACCGAGCCACCTGGACTCTCGAGAGAGGTAAGGACCGGTCGTTAAACAGGAATTGGGACGTCCCACAGAAAGACCTATATGGAGGGCTGGACGCAGCGGTACTACTGGTCCTGACCCGCAGCCACGACGGTGGCCAGGGTTCCCGCAGCCACGACGGTGGCCAGGGTTCCCGCAGCCACGACGGTGGCCAGGGTTCCCGCAGCCACGACGGTGGCCAGGGTTCCTGGTTCGTGCGGCTGTAGGCTGCACTGAATTTTTGTCTGTCTGGTGTTTGTTTGTCGTAGTGTTTGTTGTCTTGGTGTTTGTCAAAATGGGGCAGCCGTCGTCTGCTTCTGTGTGCACCCCACTGCAATGTTTTCTTAAGAATTTTCAGGACTTCAAGAAGAGAGCCGGAGACTACGGATATGATGGTAATGCTTTTGATTTGCAGAAATTCTGTGAACGGGAGTGGCCCACTTTCCAGGTGGGATGGCCAGACGTAGGGACTTGTGATTTAACCACTGCTTATCGGGTTCACCATGTTATCTACGGCCGGCCGGGTCACTCCGACCAAATTCCCTATATTCAAGTGTGGGTCGATATTTTGGCTGAAAAACCAAGGTGGTTAAAGAGTTGTCAGAGATATGTCGACAGTTTGGCTCAAATAAACTCACAAAAATTCAAAAAAAAAAAAAAGAGTTGTCAGAATAAGAAAAAGAAATTGGGACAGAGACAGACAGTCCTCTTGGCTTCGGCCCAGAAGGGCAAAACTCCCCCTGTTCTGCAAGGTCCGGGTGCGGAGGCACTCCCCGGGGTCAGGCCACCTCCCTATGTTCTCCCGGCGCTGGATCCAGGTGAGTCCAGGCCTCAGGCCCAGGCCACACCACCGACTCTTGACCCGGAGCCCCTGCCTCCCCCGATGCCACCGGCGGGAGGGGCTTTGTTGTCCTCCAACCCCTTCAGTCCTTCCCATAATAGACAGGGAACGGAATATGGAGCTTTCGGGGGTGTTGGGCCGGCGGCCCCAGCGCCTCTCCTGCCCTTGAGGCAGGCTGGGCCACCGGATCTGGGCTTGGACGGCCAGGCTTTCATGATTTATGTCCCCTTTTCTACCAGTGACCTGTACAATTGGAAGAACCAGAATCCTTCTTTCTCCCAGAACACACAGGGGTTAATCTCTCTTTTGGAGTCTGTGTTTTTTACCCATCAACCTACCTGGGATGACTGTCAGCAGTTATGGCAAACCCTTTTCACTTCGGAGGAGAGAGAATCAAGGCGGAAGGGAGGAGATTTGTGCTGGGTCCGGATGGGCAGCCTACCTCTGACCAAGACAGATTAGAGGCTGTGTTTCCCTCCCGGCGGCCCAACTGGAACCCTAATAGTGAGACGGGAAAGGAGGCTCTCGATCGGTATCGCCAGACTCTATTGGGGGGCACCTGAGCTGCTGCTCTGAGACCCACAAAACCTCTCTAAGGTGACAGAGACAGTCCAGGGGCCTATGAGAGCCCGGCAGCTTTCCTTGAGAGGCTGTGCGAGGCCTATCGGGTGTATACCCCCATTGACCCTGATGCCCCGGAAAATCGGAGGGCTGTCATTGTAGCATTTGTTTCCCAGTCGGCCCCAGATATTCGGAAAAAATTGCAGAAGTTAGAGGGCTTTGAGGGGAAATCAATCTCTGAGTTGTTTGAGGTGGCCCAGAAGGTTTTTAACAATCGGGAGGACCCGACGACAGGTTTAAATGCCCGATAGCAAAGGTCCTCCTGGCAATAAAAAAGGAAAAAGGCCAAAGGGGCCGGAGAGACAATAAGAACAAAGGAAAGATCTCTGCAAACTGTTTGGGGAAAACTGGGGAAATTCCCATGGCCAAACCATATCGACCAGGTATGGCTGGAGGCGGGGGGGCATCCCTGGGTCATTGGAGCCAGGGGTTATGGGTACAGAAACTTAGCCCTAGAGCAAGAGTTATGGCACACTCAACATTATGTCTGCCCCCGGGAAGGGGGTAGTAACTGTGGAGGAGAGGGTGACTGTGCCTCTTGGGGCTGTGCAACCCTAGCCCTATGGAAAAAACCTCCCACCGACAAGCTCCTTCGTCTGAACAGAGTTTCGACCTGGGGCCCCAAAGAAGAACTGCGCTGTCGGAAATTGTAACCCCGTCCTCCTCATGCCTCTCGCCTGGTGGACTGACCAATGGAAAGGGGGAAAGACGTGGGGACTAAGACTCTATGTCAGCGGCCAAGACCCGGGCCAGCTCTTCACCATTCAACCCCGGATTCTTCCCCGGTGGCTCAACCCGATCGGCCCCTTGCGTCCCCTAGACAAGCCAGAGAGGCCGAGCCAGCCACAGCACCCAGCCCCAGACAAACCTCCTGGTTCCCCTGAGTCACAAAAGCCTGAGAACCCCAGCCCTACTCCCCCTGCAGCCCTTGAGGACCTACAACAGCTTTTGGGTACAGGCGCGGGAAAACCAAACCGGCAGCTGCTGGGAACCTAGACTTAATGTTTTCTTTCCTGAGTCACACTTCCCCAAACCTGACCGTGGATTGCTGGCTGTGCCTTAACCCTGAACCCCCTTACTATGTTGGGGTCGGGGCAGAGGCCCAACTCGGGAAGGATGCCTCTGCCATCAGGTACCTTTCGGCAGAAAGTCTGTCAGACGGACTGTGTATGTGGGGACACAAGCACCCAGGACTCACTCTTGGGGACATCCTGAACCCAGGGACTTGTGTGTACCCTATGAACTACCCCCTTGGCAGTTCCACCTATACAGATCTATGTAATTCTTCTATCATACTTCAAAAAAATCATACAGGAGGGAACCCCACCTACTTAGTAGCGCCGGAAGGAACTTGGTGGGCATGTACAACTGGTGTAACCCCTTGCATCTTCTCTCCAGCCCTCCAGCATCCGACGGGCCCTGGACTATGCATTCTAACTCATCTCCTCCCTCAGGTGTGCTACTATTCGGGAGAAGGAGGCCGAGAACATTTGAACCTCGAACCCAGAAGGGTTAGAAGGGCCCCCATCCTAGTCCCCCTCCTTATGGGAATAGGACTAGCAGGATCCACGGCCGTCGGAACAGCCGCCCTAGCAACCGGCCACCAAAATTATAAAGAGTTAGGCAGGTAGATCAAGATTTAAGCTCGCTTGAAAAATCCGTTAGCCAATTGGAAGACTCCCTCAGTTCACTTGCAGAGGTAGTATTACAAAACAGACAAGGCCCAGATCTGCTTTTCCTGAATCAGGGAGGCCTCTGTCTGGCCCTAGGGGAGACCTGCTGTTTCTACACCAACCACTCGGGGGTGATCAGGGAAAGCCTTAGCCAGCTGCGAAAACAGCTGGCTGACCGAGAAGAGGCTAGAAGGGCTGAAGGCAATTGGTACAAGAATTTATTTTCCTGGTCCCCCTGGCTAACTACCCTGCTCTCCTCCTTGGCAGGACCCGTCATTCTGCTCCTCCGAGGGCTCATATTTGGCCCCTGCATTGCCAGATGCCTCCTCAATTTCATACAAAATCAAATACAGGCTGTAAAGTTAATGGTTTTACACACCCAATACTCCAGAGTCTTAGAGGAGGGCGCTGAATCAAGGATTTGATTCAGGCATAAGACCAGTAGGGAATGTGCTAGGGGGAGGGACTGAGGCACGGAAAGGTTACCGATTGTATTAGGGTCCGAGATCGTGACAGAAAAATTGCTAGATTGTCTCAGAAAACAATATATTATGATTCACCCCAGCCAGGTATGACTCCGTTTACTTCCCCTTTGTTTTTGTGAACTTCTAAGGAACAGCTAATGAAATGCTTTGTAGTTTTTTTTTTAAAACATTATGTAGTTTTTGCAATAAAAGATTTTGCTGTACCCTCGGTCGGCACTGCAGGCTGCGAAGCCCCTTACTGAAGGGACGCACTGTAGTCAGCTGGCCAGCTTAATAAAGGCTCTTCAATTTAAATTCTGAGTCGGTGGTCTATCTCGCTGATTGAACCCATAACATAAGGAGCCACGATTGCTCCCTGGCTTCAAAGAGCCTCTGGTCCAGCAGATAACAGGCTGTCAGTCAAATGCAGAGTGATATTGGGGGACAGGCCTACTGAAATGGGGACCTGAGGGCCGATGATCATAAGGGAGATCACTGGGGGTGTGGTGAAGTGAAGGGGTGCCGTGAGGGCAGAAAAGGGGCCATGAAGACACTATGTAGTGAGGGAAGGCACTTGCTACCTGGGAAGGGTTCTCTGTGGAAGAACCCCGACACGCAGATAAATGTCACCTCGTGGCATCTGCCATGATGTGACAGGGTTACCTGTGATCGTTCCATGTTTATTTCTCTCCCGGGCTCCAAGATCCCCAAAGAGCCCATGCATCTGCCTTCAGTGCCTCTCGGGCTTGAAAATGTCTAACTCCCAGGCCTGGCCTCTTTCCCTCTAATCACATTCTTAGATTTAATGTTCTCCACCCAGTTGCTGAGCTAATCCCTTCTTTCCCAGGGGAGACCCACCCTTCCCCTCCTGGGAGGGACAGAAGATGGAATCTCTCCCTTTGCCCTCTAGGAAGGCACTGTCTGCCCTCCAGCTTGTCTCCTTTTAAGTCCTAAATTCTCCCAGAGAAGAGTCTTTCCATCTCTCTTCTCTCCTATGAAAAACATCCATCTGTTACATGGCCCTTGGTCGTTCACAGGGTTCCATTAGGATGGCTTAGCCCCACACTGCCCAGCCCTGACCCTGCTTCTCATGGTGATTCTGTCCTGACCTCCCTCAGAGAAGCCTTGTGGTCTGAAGGGCCCCCCACATCCTCAAACGACCACCACCTGCTCCCTGAAGGAGCTCATGACCTGCTGTGTCACCTGACATAAAACCTAAGTGACAACTAGATGCATGGACACATGTCTTTTCTTCTTGCGACTGCCACCGTTGTCTTCTCGCCTTTTTTAGCTGTGGACAATTTGGATTACTCTAATGTGGCCAAAGATCCCAGAAACCATGCTCTCAGGTTGTGTTTTTTTCCTTTCTTACATCAGGAACCCATTACACCCTTCACTCTCTCACACCAAGTAGGATAACTATGGGCCATCCGTCCACCTCAGTCAGTGCCTTTGGAAGGAATCAATGAGCCAGTCTTCAACCTTGTCCCTCCCTAACCTTCTCTTTCCTAATGGGATATCTGGGTCAATCAATTAATAGGGAGAAATGCATAAATCCCATCAGGATTATGGGGTTTAGACCAGGGGTTCTGATTGGATGTTAGCATCTGAGAAGGTGTATATAAAACCCCAGGCACCAGAGGAGAGGTTCAGAGTCCTCCAGCTCTGCAGTCAGTGCCGTGGTTCTCCACCAGGTCTGAGATCTGAGCCCCAGCCAACCTGGTCACAGCAGGTGAGTTACCGACCTCAGCTAAGGCAGCCGACCTCACGGTGCATGAAGCCTGACCTGGCATGACAAGCTTTCCATTTCCTTCCTTCCTTCCTTCCTTTCTTCCTTCCTTCCTTCCTGCCTTCCTGCCTTCCTGCCTTCCTGCCTTCCTTCCATCTTTCTTTCTTTTTTTAATTTTCTAGCTTGAAAACTTGTTAGTTCAAATCTATTTTTTTAATTAAATCTTTATTGTTCAGATTATTACATTTGTTCCTCTTTTCTCCCCCCATAACTCCCCTCCTCCCAGTTCCCACCCAACCCTCTGCCCTCACTCCCCACCCACTGTCCTCATCCATAGGTGCACGATTATTGTCCAATCTCTTCCCGCATCTCCCACACCCCATTCCCCCCCAGGAATAGTCAGTCTACTCCCTTTCTATGTCCGTGATTCTATTATAATCACCAGTTCATTCTGTTCATCAGATTATTTATTCACTTGATTCTTAGATTCACTTGTTGATAGATGTGTATTTGTTGTTCATAATTTGTATCTTTACCTTTTTCTTCTTCCTCTTCTTAAAAGGATACCTTTCAGCATTTCATATAATACTGGTTTGGTGGTGATGAACTCCTTTAGCTTTTTCTTATCTTTGAAGCTCTTTATCTGACCGTCAATTCTGAATGATAGCTTTGCTGGATAAAGTAATCCTGGTTGTAGGTTCTTGGCATTCATCACTTTGAATATTTCTTGCCACTCCCTTCTGGCCTGCAAATTTTCTGTTGAGAAATCAGCTGACAGTCATATGGGTATTCCCTTGTAGGTAACTGAGTTTCTTTCTCTTGCTGCTTTTAAGATTCTCTCTTTGTCTTTTGCTCTTGGCATTTTAATTATGATGTGTCTTGGTGTGGTCCTCTTTGGATTCTTTTTGTTTGGGGTTCTCTGCTCTTCCTGGACTTGGAAGTCTATTTCTTTCACCAGGTAGGGGAAGTTTTCTGTCACTATTTCTTCAAATAGGTTTTCAATATCTTGCTCTCTCTCATCTTCTGGCACCCCTATAATTCTGATGTTGGTATGCTTGAAGCTGTCCCAGAGGCTCCTTACACTATCTTCGTATTTTTGGATTCTTTTTTCATTTTGCTTTTCCGGTTGGGTGTTTTTTGCTTCTTCGTATTTCAAATCTTTGACTTGATTCTTGTGATCCTCTGGTCTGCTGTTGGGAGTCTGTATAATATTCTTTATTTCAGTCAGTGTATGCTTAATTTCTAGTTGGTCCTTTATCAGAACATTGAGGGTCTCACTAGATTTCTTGAGGATCTCACTACATTTATCGGCGGTTTCTAGAAAATTCTTGAAAAACCTTAAAAGCGTGGTTTTGAACTCTATATCCAGCAGTTTGCTTTCCTCCATTTCTGTCATTTGTGTCCTGTTTCTTTGTCTCTGCATTTTTTATGCTTCCTTGTGTTGATAAAGTGGTTTTCTGTGCTAAGTGTCCTCTGGGGTCCCGTGGTTCAGCCTCCCCAATTACCTGAAGAGAACACTCTTGGTGCTCCCCCTTGTGGTCTTTGTGCACAGTCTTGTTGTAGTTAAGCCTGGATTGTTGTAAGTAACACTGGGAGGGATTGGCCTCCAGGCCAATTGGCTGTGAGAATCAGCTGTGTCTGCAGTGGGAGAACTTCTGTCCTGGAGCTCTAGGGCGGCGCTAATCTAGCCTCTGCCTGATGCTATCCAGCAAACACCTCCGTGCAAGGCTTGGGCAGGGTGGGTCCCAAGGGAGCAACAGGGCTGGCGGAGCGAGCAGTTATGGCCGCTCTCAGTCCTGCCTTCAGGGGCCCCGCTTCTCAGTGTCCCAGCAATTGCTGCAAGTACCTCTGAGAGAAAGCTGCCCTTGAGTTCTGATGGATCCCAGACAGTTCCGCCTCTCCCATATGAGTCTAGGTCCCCAGAGACTCGCCTGGAACTGGAGGTCAGAGCTTGAGACTCCCTCCCAATTGAAAAAGACAACTACGCCCTCAGCCGCCAGCCCGCTCCGCATGCGCCTCTGTACCTTAGTATTTTACTTCCGCACCGCAGCTCCTCTGAGTCTCGGTATGCTTTTCTCTCTCCTTCTAGTTGTAGAATTTCCACTCAGCCAGCGTTCCTGTGGTTCTGGGTGATGTCTGTTCTGTTTTATAGTTGTACTTTTGAAGTGGTTGTGCGAGGCAGCAAACTCCAGTGTTTACCTATGCCGCCATCTTGGTTTCTCTCATCTTTCTTTCTTTCATCTTTCGTTCTTATAATGTATTTTTATTGATTTCAGAGAGGAATGGGGGGGAAGAGAGAGATTGAAATGGAAATTATGAGAGGGAATAAATTATCAGGTGCCTCCTCATTCCTCAAATGGGGATGGAGCCCACAACCCGGGCATGTGCCCTTGACCAGAATCAAACCAGGGACACATCAGTCCACAGGCTGAACCAGTATTCACTGAGGCAAACCACCTAGGGTCCTTTTTTGCCGGGAGCCGGTCCATCCTTGCTGCTTCAAGGGACCTGGCACATATGGCATACTGTTCTTAATATGTTTGCTCACCTTCTTGGCACTATGTGTTTTAACCAAGGTCTCTGAGAAAGGTTGTTTCCTCAGGTAGGGATTTTCCCCTGAAGTTAGGGAGGGAATAAAACCTCTTAACTAAGTGCCAGGCGGGAAATTAATCACTTTAACTACGAACAATCATGCTTAAGCTACATAATCTTTACTCCCTGGTATGGAGATAAGAAACGCCCTAACCTTTGTAATAGAGATTGATAGGATTGAATCAACTGGTATAAATACAGATGTAACAAGACAGCAAGAGTCAGAACTTAGAATACAGAGCTTAGAACACAGAACTAAGAAGACAGAACCTACACAGAACCAGAGACAGAAGAACTTCGCTAGAGACAGAACATGGCAAAAGATCCTGGACTGAACCTGACTACAGAAATTGGCAAGAGAACCTGACTAGAACCTGGTGACTGAACCTGGCTGGAGAACCTAGTGAGGGAACATGGCTACAGAACCTGGCTGGAGAACCTAGCGAGGGAACATGGCTACAGAACCTGGCTGGAGAACCTGGAGAACCTAGCAAGAGAACATGGACACAGAACCTGGCTGGAGATCCGAAGCAGAACTTCGCTGGAGATCCAGACCAGAACTTGGCTGGAGATCCTGGCTAGAGATCCTGGCTAGCCTGCTGATCAACTGAACGCTGTCTCTGTGTCCTTCTTCGCCGACTCCGTCCACGCCTTTGGGGACCCCTGGACCCGCTGGGGTTGGACCCCGGCACTTTTTGTTTCATTACAGTCTAACAGATTGAATACTTTGATTTCACCTCTAAGTGTAGCTTTACCTGAATTCCAAACATTGGATTTGGGCTTTGGTTTATTTTTAAATGTCTAAACAAGCTGATTCCCTGACACACACCCCCTACTGCCCTCAATGAAAACATCTTAACTGTTGGGGGTTTTATTTTTGGACATTTTAACTATTTAGTTTGTGTTCCAAATGAGTCTGAAACTTACCCCCCAAAAAGGTAGGGGTCAGTTTTTAGGCCTCTGAGTACCCATGTGCTAGTCAGACTGGAATGAAGATGTGGGTGCTTCTGAGATGCTTGTCTGGGGGCCTGCAGGGGAGAGCTATGGCTCTGTGGCTACCAAGCCTAGAATGGGACTCACTAAACTGAGACTCTCACCATTGCCAGGCAGTGGCTTTGGCCCCGAGTTGATTCATCTGAGGGAAGGGGCGTGAGTTGATGGGGCTCAAAGGCTTGGCCTGACAAGGATGTCTTATTCCCTAGACGTTTCTGCAGGATTCCTTTCTGGACACCTTGAAGATGAGCATCCTGATGCCACCCACACTCCTGAAGCTGGCAGCAAAGCGCCTGCTGAGGGACCAGGCCTCAGCCATTGCCGCTCTGGAGTACCTGCCCACCGAGCTCTTCCCATACCTGTTCGAAATGGTCTACCGTGGTGGACGCCACCCCCAGCTACTGAAGGCGTTGGCCCAAGCCTGGCCCTTCACTGTCCTCCCTCTGAGGGTCCTGATGCAGCATCCCCCTGATCATGCCCCAACCAGGGCCGTGGGCTTAAAAGCTGTGTTTGACGCGATTGACGTTGTGCTTGCCCAGGAGGTTCGGCCGAGGTAAGGCTGCTCCAGGTGCCTGGTAGGGTCCTGACTGAGCATCTGGGAGACAGTGGAGGTCAGGGTGTTTGGAGGGCCTGAGGGTGGACCTGAAGTTTCTGACCATGCCAGTGAGGCTCGGGGAGCCCTTGCACACTGCCCAGCTCACTGTGGGAAGTGGAGGAATGCCTACTGGGCAGGGGCACCTGCAAAACCTGCCCTGCCTCCTCCCAGTGGGACTTAAAGGTACTCCAAGTGCTGAGCAGGAGGGATGGAGGGAAGGAGATGAGCAAAGCAAAGCAGAGGGAGGAGGAGGGCAAGGGAGAAGCTGCCCCTGGGATTCAAAGTAGAAGCTCAGGGAGGGGGTGCAGTCTGATTGGTGCCTCAACTCAGACGCTCAGTCTCATTCAGACCTGCCCTCACTGAGCCGATCTTTTTAAAAACATATAATTTTTATTGATTTCAGAGAGGAAAGGAGAGATAGTGATAGAAGCTTCCATGATGAGAGAGAATCATTGATCAGTTGCCTCCTGCACACACACACACACTCCCCCCACCCACTGGGCATTGAGCCTGCAACCCAGGCATGTACCCTGACTGGGGATTGAACTGTGACCTCCTAGTTCATAGGTCGATGCTCAATCCCTGACACACACAGTCCATCAAGCACCTCAGCCAATGCCCTGTTGACCTGGAAGAATCTCAGCTAATGTCCTGTTCTCCCCACAGGAGGTGCAAACTGCGGGTGCTGGATTTAAGGAACACGGGTGCCAACTTCTGGGATATGTGGCTTCGAGTCAGCACCGAGAATTGCTCACTTAGAGAACTACTGACCATGCACAGCTCAGGCCCTGGCATGGAGCACCCCCTGGCTCCCTTGGAGGTGTTCCTAGACCTTACCTTCGATGAAAGGGACCAGGATAAGTTTTTCATGCACATCATCCAATGGGCCCAGCAGAGGGAAGGGTCGCTACACCTGTGCTGCAAGACGCTGAGGACTTTTGGGGTGCCCTTCCAGAGGGTCAGGAGGGTCCTGAATGGGGTGCGGCTGGGCTGCATCCAGGAGGTGGAAGTGAACTGCACCTGGGACCTGTCCACCCTGGGGGCTTTTGCTCTCTACCTGGGATCGATGAGTAACCTGCAGGAAATCTTTCTCATGGGAAAGTTGACTGAGGACTATGCGGAGGAAGGGGATGAAGAGGAGGAGGGGGAGGAAGAAGGACAACAGGAAGAGGAGCAGGGGTTGAGGGGGGAAGAGGAGTTGGAGAGGGAGGGTGAAGAGGTGATGGAGTGGGAGGAGGCAGAGGTGCAGGAGGAAGGGGTGCAGGAGTGGCAGGAGGCAGAGGTGCAGGAGGAAGGGGTGCAGGAGTGGCAGGAGGCAGAGGTGCAGGAGGAAGGGGTGCAGGAGTGGCAGGAGGCAGAGGTGCAGGAGAGGGAGGAGGCAGAGGTGCAGGAGTGTGAGGAGGCAGAGGTGCAGGAGGAAGGGGTGCAGGAGAGGGAGGAGGCAGAGGTGCAGGAGGAAGGGGTGCAGGAGAGGGAGGAGGCAGAGGTGCAGGAGAGGGAGGAGGCAGAGGTGCAGGAAGGGGAAAGGCAGGAGCAGGAGGAGCAGCAATCCTTTTCCGAATTCCTCTCTCAGATGCTCAGGCTGCGGCACCTCCGGGACCTCGAGCTATGTTCTCTTTCCTTCCTCCCAGGCCGTCTGGACCAGGTCCTCAGGTGAGTTGGGGAACAGTGGACGCAGCTCCAGAATGGCAAGGGAGGGCCTGGGTTGCTGCTTTGAGGGTGGTGGCCCGTGAGCACCTTAGAGAAGCATGTTTTAAAATCTGCCTGTCAGGAGGGGTAGCAGAACTGGTTCAATGAGTGACCCAGCGAGCCGGGGTCCGTGAATTCTTCCTTAGGGGGACATGTCTAAGTGACCGGGACTGAGGAAGGGGGAGGGAGGAGGAAAAGCCACATGGGAGGGAGCATTTCCAGACAGAAGCTCTGCCCACCGGCCATGTGAACACACGTGAGCCTGCCTCAGCTTCCCCATCTGTCAGAGGTGGTCTGGGCTCCAGGAAGATCATTAGTAGGAAGGAAAGGCTGGATTCCCCAGCTAAGGGAGCGGGAGGGAAAGGACTGCTAAGAGTGACAGGTGGTTTGTGGTAGAAGTCGCCCCTGCAGACTGGCCTCCCAGTTGTCACTGCACGATCTCTCTCTCTCTCTCTCTTCCTTTTTTAAATCCTCACCTGAGGATATTTTCCCCACTGATTTTTAGAGAGTGGAAGGGAGGGGAAGAGACAGTGAAACATCTATGTGAGAGTGACACATCCATTGGTTGCCTGAGGCTCATGCCCCAACCAGGGCCAGGGATTGCGCCTGCAAATGAGGTGCATGTGCTTGAGTGGTAATCAAACCTGAGACACGTCCATGCAAAGGCCAACGCTCTATCCACGGAGTCAAACCTGTTAGTGCCATGTTTGTGGTGTATGTATTACATGAACTAACCTCATGTTGCCCAGATATCTCGGGCCTGGAGCCCAAGCCGTGGGCAGAAGGAAGCCTGAGTTGACAGCATTCTTGGGTTTGTCTCCCAAACTTAAGGTTCAGGGATGCCCACCCTTAACCTGGACACTGTGTCGGGTTCTCTGAGCAGGTCCCGGGGTTTTCCTTCTGTGCAGCGCCCTCCAGAGTGCAGTGCGCTGCTTGGCAGCTGAGGACAGGAAGCTCTGGCCATGTCGTGAACCTGCCCCAGCCTAAAAGGAGACCGGGTGTCCTGGCTGCTGGCCTTCATCAGATTGTGAAGACAGCCCTGGGCTCGGGCAAATCCATCTTCTGTCACCTGCAGGACCCCCTCTACCGGCTACCCCGTCCCCAGGCACTAACCGCTCTTTCTCTCCCCAGGTGCCTGCAGATTCCCTTGTACAAATTCTGCGTAATGTGCTGCCCGCGGCTGACGCATTCAGACCTGACACACCTGTTCCAGTGCCCGAACCTCAGGCAGCTGAGGGTCCTGCATCTATTTGGCGTCGACCTTGCGGATTTCAGTGAGCCCCTCCGAGCTCTGCTGGAGGCAGTGGCACCCACCCTCCAGTTCCTGGGTCTGGATAAATGTGGGATGGCGGACTCCCAAGTCGAGGCCATCCTACCTGTCCTGAGCCACTGCCACCAGCTCAGACACTTCACCATCTGTATGAACAACTTCCCCGGGGCCACCGTGGAGAAGCTGCTGCGCCACACAGCCGGGCTGCGCAGTTTACAGCGCGAGGTGTACCCCGTCCCCCTGGAGGGTTACAGGACCCAAGGGACCGTCAACAAGGAGAGACTCGCCCTGATCAAGGCTGAGCTCGTGAGGGTACTGAGGGAGTTGGGACAGCCCAGGACCATCCAGCTTGCCACCAAGCATTTTAGACATAGGAAGGTTTATGAGGTGGCATTTTCATGACATGGCGCCCGTGATGTGCCCCTGTAGTGACCGTGCTCACTAGGTGCACCCAGAAAAGCCTTCTTTCTGGGCCTTTGGAAGCTGAAACCTCAGACCGGGGTGCGTTATGCAGGGGGCACCCACGTTCCAGGTTCATGCTCAGTGTGAATGGGGAAACGGAGGGACCCAGCCCGGGTACAGGATTGCAGGGCCAAAGGTTGGGGAGTTCATGGGACCTCAAAGGCAAAGTGTCCTACAATCAGAAACATGGATCTGATTTGCTTGGGGACGGGGAGAGGTATTTGGCCTCCAGCTGCATGTGTGGGAGGCAATCCTGGGTGGATGGTTGGAAAGGAATGTTCAGAAATAAAGACCATTTCAAAGGCCACCGTCTGGTCCTGTCACGTATTAACCCGTCTCCCAATTCACGCCTCAGGACTCTCCAGTTCCTGAGGAACAGAGCTGCGGAGGGTCAGGGTCACACACTGGAGCTGCTGGGCTGCGGCTCGGCTGCAGGGCTCAGCACCAATTTGTCACTCCCTCCAGGTCTTTCCTTCTCTCTGGGCATCTCTGCCTCCTGTGGCTGCTCAGTGGGTGGATACAATGGGACGTGCTAAGTGGCCCACCAACCCGCGAGGCGAAGGGGACTCGCTGCTGGGACTGACCCTGGACACGAGATGTCCCCATGGTGCTGCTGGTGAACCCCCAAGTCAGGACTTGTGCCAGGAAGGGTTCAGGGCACAAGGCAGGGCCTCCAGTACCACAAGGTCTTGTCCACACTGCAAAGAACCGAGCCGCTGGGCCTCCCAGCTCATGCCTGTCAGCCTGGTGCGGAGGAAGTAACGTGCCTGTGGCCAGGAAAATCATCCAAATTCCTTTGATCGAAATACGAAAGTCATTCAGGCACATAACACTTTTTCTTAGTATTTCTACACCACGTAAGACGTGACCCTGCAGACAGGTCATATCCATGGGAATTGGCTTTATTCCCATAAGCTCTCTCGTCTCTCTCTACAGAGGAAGGCTAGAGTAGCGTGTTTTAATTCAGCCTGTCAGGATGGGTAACAGAAGGAGTGGGTAAATGGGTGAGGTGCTGCCTGTGCTAGGTCCCTCTGTTAGGCAGTGTTCTGCAGACTGACCCATAGGGTCTACATGGAAGCATGGAAGACATTTCTAGGAATAGGCTCATACGTTGAGCCCTATCATCTGTGCTTTGCAAACTGGAGAGTCAATAGTGTAACTAGTCCAAGTGTGGAGGCCTGAGAACCTGAGGAGCCCGTGGGTAACCACCTCCCTGAGGTGTGGTGTTCCCCTGCTGGATCGGATGGGTGGGTACGGGCGGCAGGAGTGGCGGTGTCCGTGGGAAGGGAGCGGCTGTGCTCAGCTGTGCTGAGGGCACGTCACTCTCCTGCACTCTCGGGATTGTGCTTCAGAGGCTGAGAGAGCATCTTGCATCAACCCCGAGAGGGGCGAGAGGCGGGAGGTTAAAGCAGCCCTGTAGCCTGGCTCAGTGGTTCAGCATCGACCAGTGAACTAGGAGGTCGCTGTTGGATTCCTGGTCGGGACACATGCCTGGGTTGCGGTCTGGATCCCCAGTGTGGGACCTGCAGGAGGCAGCCGATCCATGATTCTCTCTCATCATGTCTCTCTCTCCTCTCTCTCTCACTCTCTCCCTCCCTCCTCCTCCTCCTCCCTCCCTCCCTCCCTCCCTCCCTCCCTCCCTCCCTCCATCCCTCTCCCTTCTTCTCTGAAACCAATAAAAAAAGAAACAGAAAAAAAGCAGCCATCTGTGTAAACGTGGAAGGGGGATCTGTGGGGTTTGGCATGGGTACATAGAGACTCGGAACAAACCCGTTCAGTCCTACACGGAGCATCTCCCCAGCGCGTCTGGGACGCGCCCATTTCTGCACCTCCTGGCAGTCCTCTGGGCGGCACTGAGGAGGGGCAGGGGCCCTTGTCTCATAAGATCCTTCTGAGGGAAGCTGGGCCCTTCTGAGCCCGAAGGGAAGGGAAGGGAAGGGAAGGGAAGGGAAGGGAGGGGAGGGGAGGGGGGAGGGGAGGGGAGGGAGGGGAGGGGAGGGGAGGGGAGGGGAGGGAGGGAGGGGAGGGGAGGGAGGGAGGGAAGGGAAGGGAAGGAAGGAAGGGAAGGGAAGGGAAGGGAAGGGAAGGGAAGGGAAGGGAAGGGAAGGGCCCTTAGCAGTACAGGTGAGAGGACTTTACGCTAATATCACAGAGGGAAACCCAGGTGCCACTCGCTGTAATCAGAGCAGCCTGCTTGGCGCAGTGCCGGTGCGGTTGGTCTTAGATGGGAGATCCCAGCCTCCACCAGCACGTGTCCCGGCTGGAGCCCCGTCTGAAGTGGGCCCAGCCCTGACTGGGGCGGGCGCTGCCCAGTGAGCCCTAGAGACGGTTCCATCTGCTCCTCAGACTTCCTGCCCAGCATGACCCTCTCCCTCCCCTCCCCCAGCCCCTGACCACAACCATCAGACCAATGCTGGTCTGATTCCTCGCCCTGGACTGTTGCAGGTGCCCCAGGTTCTTGGGCCCCTGCAGCGCCTGTCCTCCTGCGATGCCATCTCACTGAGCAGTGTCCTCAGAATGCCCCTGTTGTCGCCCGTGGAATTCCCTTCTTCCCAGTCAGCTCGGGGTGGTGGAACCGCTCCCCATCACTACTTCGTGTGGCCTCTCTGGGGAGGGATTGGTCATAGCCGTGCCTGGCTTTGCTGCCCTGAATGGTATTCTAGAACATGGCAGGAGCTCGCTCTGCCAGAGAAAATGTTCCTGCAGAAGAGACGCGATGCCCTAACCGGTTTGGCTCAGTGGATAGAGCATCAGCCTGCACACTGAAGGATCCCAGGTTCGATTCCAGTCAAGGGCATGTACCTTGGTTGCAGGCACATCCCTAGTAGGGAGTGTGCAGGAGGCAGCTGATCGATGTTTCTCTGTCATCGATGTTTCTAACTCTCTATCCCTCTCTCTTCCTCTCTGTAAAAAATCAATGGAATGTATCTTTTTAAAAAATCTTTTTAAAAAAAGAAGACAAGCAAGCATGGACTTGGAAGATGTCACCCTGAGGCGGAATTACCAAGTCACCTTGGCCCTTGTGGGCTCAGTGGACACAGTGGGGCCTGTGGACCAAAGAGTCCTGGGTTGGATGCTGACCCTCTGTCATAGGCCCCCATTTCCTAACGTGTCCCCACGGGCCACAGGCACAGGCGGCTCAGGAGCCAGCGTCTGGGCGCAGACAGCGGTGTGCCTGCAGCCTCTGACGTCCTGCCCGCTGGGCATGCCGAGGTCCCTGAGGGATGAGATGGCTATAGGAACGGTTATAAAGTTGTTGGAGCGTTAACTTAGTTAACACGTGCAAATACTCCGAATAGTATGGGGCATAATAGTAACATCGACGTTGGCACTTGTCATTATTATTGCGTCACGGTTGCCATAAGGTGTCTTTGTAAATATTTGTGATTCTCTCTCATCATTGGTGTTTCTGTCCCCCTCTCCTTCTCTCTCCCTCTCTGAAGTCAATGGAAATATCTACACAAAGTATTTGTCTGTGATCCAAATGTTTGCTTCTGCTGTTATGATCTTTGTGTCTCAGCAGACATGCCAAAGGCTCACCCTGCAGATGTGCCAGGTGTCGCAGAAATGGGAATGAGTTCTCAGGACGAGAGACCGGCGTGAGGAGTAGGCCTTCTGTTCCCACCGCACTGGCTGAGGGAGGTGCCGCAGACAGATGTGGGGGTGGGGGTGGGGGGCAGCGGGAGGGTGGGGAAGAGCTGTAACACTGGGGAGCAGGTACTCCCTGACATCCAAGCTGAGGTCTGGCTGCCACACCCCACATGCAGGGACAAGGGGTGCACGTGGCTGGGCCATGGGCCGCTGTGTGTCACAGAGAACAACACACTCCCCTTCCCTCCCGTTGAGCCCTGAAGCTTTCAGATTTCTCCCTGTTGCTCCCTAAGTAGTAGTCTGCTATCTACTCCCAGAAACACCAAAGCAAGAGGGTATTTCACTTGCGGTGACACGTGAAGGTGGTACCCAGAGGGAGTGACGATGGGGTGACACTGGGAAGGTGGTAACAGGAGGGAGTGAGATGATAGCGTGACACTGGGAAGATGGTACCGGGAGGGAGTAGGATGATGGGGTGACACCGGGAAGGTGGTAACGGGAGGGAGTGACGATGTGGGTACAGAGGAGAGGGAAGCAGAAGATTTCCTGGACCCTCCTCCCCCCGGGAATGGAGTTTCTAGCTCGGAAGACCTGTGGGTGCACATTGCGCCACACATTCAGGCCCCTGGTAGAATGTGCATTGTACATTTTTCTAATAAATAATTACTTCCGTGTCGAGAAGGCACACACCAGAGATGCAGGTTAGGGGAGGGGGTTAGAAAGTACAAACTCAGCCCTAGCTGGTTTGGCTCAGTGGATGGAGCATGGGCCTGCGGACTGAGGGTCCCGGGTTCGATTCTGGTTCAGGGCACATGCCCTAATTCCATCCAGAGGGCTGTGCATCTCCCAGTCCCAGGACAGACTTCATGGCTGTGAGTTTGTACTTTTAAAAACTATTATATACTTGTGTTTTTAAATTGATTTCAGAGAGGAAACCTTGAGGTACACACACACCCAGCGCATGGCAGCCGCCCATTGTCCCGGGAGGAGGACTAGCTATCACTGGCCTTTGGCTAGAACTGCTGGCGCATGGCTGAGAGTGGGAATCCACCTATGTTTTAGTCCAGTGATGGCGAACCTATGACACGTGTGTCAGAGGTGACACGCAATCTGTTTTTTGGTTGATTTTTCTTTGTTAAATGGCATTTAAACATATAAAACAAATATCAAAAGTATAAATCTTTGTTTTACTATGGTTGCAAATATCAAAACATTTCTATATGTGACATGGCACCAGAGTTAAGTTAGGGTTTTTCAAAATGCTGACACGCTGAGCTCAAAAGGCTCCCCATCACTGTACAGTGGGGCCTTGACTTATGAGTTTAATTCGTTCTGTGATGGAGCTCGTAACTCAAATTACTCATATGTCAAATCAATTTTCACCATAACAATGAATTGAAATGCCATTAATCAGTGTGGCGTTCACTGTGACGTTCGCTGTGCCAACTAGTGGTGGGGTATCTGAAGCTGGCTCATAACCGGAATTTTAGCTCGCAACTCAAAGCAAGAAATCAGCCGAGAGACGGCTCGTATCTCGAAAAACTCGTTAGTCGGGACACTCGTAAGTCAAGGCCCCACTGTATTTAGTCAGTTTCATTCTAGTTCTAACTTCTGTGCAGATGGCGGCATGGGCCCTCGGGCTCAGGGATCTGAGGGTCTTGGGAG